CTGTGTAGGTAAAAAGCTGTGTAGAGAAACAGCAAATTATATGACAGAAATAAAGAAGCCATTTTGAACAAGGCTTTCCCTAAGGTTTTAGAAGGAAAACTGAAGAATAATTTTCTTTAAAAGTACAAAGCATTTTTCAGTAGGGAAAATAATTACTTACTCTGGAATGTGAGCAGGGCACTGGATACCTGACCTGTAATTTAGGAAAATAGTGAAGGGTTTTTCATCAGTAATTATTATTATTACAGTAGAACTGTGGGGCCCCAGTTGAGACCAGGACACTCTTGTGCTAGGCACTGTCTAGCTAGCAAGAGATAACCACTGCTGCAGGAATCTTGCAGCAAAGGCAGGGCAGACTGAAGAGGAGAAGGGAGGAAATGGAGGTAGAAAGTAGAAGTGGTTAGCCCAAGGTCACACTATTCACGAACGGACACTGCTGCCTTGCACTGGTACGTCACCTATAGACACTTCATCCGAGTCTGGTGTGAGTCACGTGTCGCCTTTTGTAATGTGACATCCCTGATCAGAGAGAATGGTCGTAATTTAAATGGGTAATGCCATTTGCCTGTATGAAAGAGCATCTCAAAGGATCAGTCCCTTATACAGGCTATCCTGTACAGCGTGGGAATTGAGTACATAGATCTTCCTTGAAAGTTTCGGGCTAGATTCTGCTTAGTGTATGCAGTATATGAGAACATACATTTTTTTTAGGGCCATAATGATTTAATGGTTGGCTTTTGGTTTGCCTTAATGTAATCAACTGAGTATAAGATGCTTCAGACTACAAAGCATTTGCTTTGTAAGTCAAGTAAGTTTTTGTCACTAGCAATTTTTTGTGTCGATAAAACATTGTTTATGGGGGAAATAACGGATGAAGAGAGTGTGAGTAAGATCCTTTTTTTAAAATGTCGTCACTGAATTCTCATAGAGAAGGATCTATGTGTTAGTTTGAGAAAACATGAACATCTTTAAATTCGGTTGCTCTTTTCATACACTGGACCTTAATTCTGCTTAGAAAAAAAATAATAGTACTTTGCTGCTTGAAATATGGCAGTCAACAAATTTACTAACTGAAGGTGGGATCAGTTCTGCCCTACTTAATCAGTAGTATTCTGCTTAGTTACCAGTCCTGCTAAACTTATCTCACTTTGTGAGGTCCAGTATCCTTTTTTGGTGATGAATCACTGAGCTAGCATTTGACAGTGAGTAAGGCTAGTAGAACTGTCCCCCAAGTAAGCAAGCACTTGTATCATTTTTTGTCCCTGAAATCAGGGGCGTGTCCAGTGGTTCCATACCACTGCCACGTGTGTTCGTTTGCACAGCGACAAATCAAATAGATTTACACTTTGTTTTCCAAGCTCACAGAGGCAATGGGAAAAAAAAGAATGTTTGGAATTTGCAATGCTATGTGTAGCAGCTCTGCTTCAGTGGGCGAAATTTATGTGGGGTATTAGAATTGGCAAAAGGGGTAGGGACAATAGAGAAACTGTGATGTATTTGATTGTGTAGCAGTAGAGAGGCCCCATCATTACCCACCATACTGGCCTTTTGTCATGACACCCTGGGATGCAGATGAATTAAAAGGGTGAAGGGAAGAAGGCACGTGTTGCAGAACCTTTTCCATCTTGAAAGACACTGCCATCAAATTACATTTTCAGGCCATTTTGTTTTACTGCCTTCTGCAGTGTTGTGATTCAGAAGTTCAGAATGGGAGGTTCCTATCCCAGCCATTTTTTTCCATTTCTTGATTACCACACATTGAGAATGGAAACCTGAATGTCGGAGACATCTCTGTATTTTTAATGGTTTGCAATGGCTAAGTGCGTAACAGAGGTCCATATGACTCATAGAGAACTTGTGGCACAAACTTGGTCAAAATCCTGAAATTATCTTCGGAAACGCCATGGTATATCAAGAAATAATGCCATTTTTTACCAGCATCATATTCATTCCAGAGAGACAGGCATCTCATGTAGTGCTGCTTGTGTAGTAAAAGCCTGGTGCACAAATATGTTTGAGAATGCAGGACATGGTTTTCAAATATATGAAATTCTAGTGGGCATTTGAGAAAACATTCACAAGTTACAGTAATTTCATAGCCTTTGTCCTTGCTTGGTGTTACTAGCATTCTATAATTTTCCTCTTTTTAAAAACGGTTGTCATGCAGCCAGGAAACCAAAATGATACCATTTACGTTAATTACTACTGGCTTTTCTACAGGCTACTGGACTATATATGTTGAACAATAAAGATTAAAAATGGGGAGCTCTGTTGATTCACTGTAGTTTCTGTTTGATGTAATCCACATTTTATGTTTAAGCTTGTCCTCACTGCTAAGAGATGTTTTATTCTTTTTATCCTTTGGATAAGTAAGAGCAATCCTGATGCCAAAGCACAGTAAAGACTAGGCACTTAACTTTTTACTACAAGGTAAACTCATTGAGGTCAAACAGTAGTTCCACCTGATGTTGAACCCTGTAAGTTTACCTTGTGGTAACACCTGAGTTTTCATTGCGCTTTTATCCTGGAATTGTTCCTGCACACCACAGTGCCTGCTCTTTATAATGCTTTTATCTTGGGACAGTTCATGGGAGTGCTACTGAGTGACAAAAAATGCTGCTTTTTTAGCAGTGGAGGCAAGTCCTTTGTTTCAGCATAGAAAACATGATTTCCATCCACACAGACTTCAAAAGAAACAGTAGGAATTGTTGAGAGCCTGATTATCATGGCATAATCACATTATCAGAGAGATTAGAAGTACTTTACTGTGTCTTTATGGTTTAGTGACACTCTAAGGCACTGGACAAAATCTTCAAGTGCTGTTAAAGTGTTTCTTGTAGGGCACTAAGGCAAAAGAGAGCTTTTTACCTATGGGCCCTGAAATCACAGAGAACATGTTTAATTCTTCTGTCAGAGACCTGCAGAACTGAACACAGGCAGAACGTGTAGTTACTGGTCTTTACTGTCTCATCTAGATATATTTCTCAAAGTGACCTGCAGCAGAGCAAAACAAAAGCCTCCTAAAATTTTAATTCCCATCAGCTCCAGTCATTGTGAAACGCTGTCATTAACCAGGCAATCAAACTAATTGAATACAGAAGTGTTAGCAATTCAAACAAGTGAGGAATTCACAGTGTGTTTTTTCTAGAAACCTTGGTGGACTCTTGGATACTGTTGCTTTTGTGGGAGGTGGCTGGCTATGACACTAACATGCCTATTTTTAGGGTATGTCTCTCCACTGCTGTGTTGCCTTGAGGTAAACAGTCCACAACCCACATCTTGTAAGTGAGATGTTGCTGAAAGACTCTGAATAGCTTGTGACTATGGGAAATTAAAAAGTTAAAGCTGAGGCTGAAAGTGAGAGCAAAGCATGTGATTTTCGTAACATGTTCCTTGTTGTGTACGGTTGCCAAGGACCACTGAAGATTTGGGGATTAATGTTATGATCATATGGTTCCCAATATAAAGGATTCCATTGATAATTATCCCAGAGTGAAGAAAGCTAAAAATAATCAACAGAAAAGCCTTTTCAGATGGGAGTCTGTGCCTCTGGAAGTGCACAGTATGGACAGTGTCTAGACAGAAAAGGTATGAAATACAAAACATGTACTTGACCTCAGTTAAAAGGCCAGCATGAAACAATTGCAACAGAAAGAGTGACACTGGGGAATTGTTGCACTTTAAAAAAAACCTGCTCCAGTAGTGAAGAAACATGGAATATGGGATGAAATGTTTTAGCCTAAACAGGTACTAAAAATTATCTTGGAAGAAGAATTTTAAAATCGATTACAGTTTGTTTGACTTTGATTATTAACACGTAAAAAAGCATTTTTAAATTAACGGCAAAGTATTTTACCTGCCAAGGCACAGAGTCAGGATTTTGTATGTCTCCAGCTGAGATTACTAAAACACTTGCAGCAGGGAGCTGCATTCCTTCTGCTGTTTTAAGGAGTTAGGGAAATAGAAGGGAAACACATTACCATGGACATGAGTGTAGAGGAGAATTGGAAGGAGGATGATTTTTTTTTTTAAACTTCCTCCTCCATTCTATATCTTTTAATGTAAGGCTTGAGTCTTTGCATGGATAACTTCATGTAATTCACTGACTGTCTTGCCAGTAGAAAGCATGGCCCTAAACTGCCATTTTATACTGATACTTTGGGACCTTAGACTCTGTTGATCTGTTTCAGATTCTCTCAAAATGAATCAAATGAAATGTACAAAAATGTTAACACAGAACTCTGTGTTAAGCACTCAGCTGCCAAAAGGCAGCTTCTGAGGCTAATAAAAAGTCAGAGCACCTACAGCAAAATTTTTTAAACATTGGCTTGTTTCAGAAACAAGTATCAGACTACTCTGCACATCCATGTAGTGATAGAACAATGAAAGTTCATCAGTCACATATACATCTCTGCAGTTGTAGAAAAGGCTGCCATCTTCGGGCAATTCTCAGTCATTGCACCCTTCTTTTTGTGCTCGAGAAATCAAAATCCACATCCCGACTATGAGATAATCAGCAGAGCATAATGGAATCAATCCCAGTCTTGAGCCAACCATTATACTAGTCTCAAATACTCTAAAGCGTGCTTTCTGACTGCATGTGACCCATGCACTTCTTGCATCTTGTGTTATCTTTTTGTCGTGCTTGATCTAAAAGATAAGCAAAATCTTTTTGCACTTTGCAGCTTGGAAATAGAGGTGCAAACTCAAGAAGCAGCAGCCAGTTTGATCTCCAAACTCTGTTGTCTTCCCCTGTTTCTTCCTACAGCAATATGGGTAGTAATAAATCTTCCAGGAAAAAGGGGAGGTTTCTTACTATTACTCAAGACTTACCTGAAATAAGCTCTAAAAACTCTTTATCTGAGAATGCACAGGGAAAACTTTAGGATGTCCTAACTACCCTGGGAGGTATCAAATAGCATTAAAGATTGAGCTGGATAGAGTAATTGCAAAGGAGTTTGTGAACGTGGTGCATTGACTTATTTTTTGTTGTATATTAGGGTCGACCAGGACCGATTGGGCTTCAGGGACCAATAGGTGCACCTGGATTTACTGGCCCAGAAGGTTTGCCGGGAGCAAAAGGTGAGAGAGGAGCAGTGGGCCCCCCTGGACCAGCTGGACAGAAAGGTGACAAGGTAGGCTCAACAGTGATTTTTCTTTTCTGTCCCTGCAATAGATCTATGGCCTTGTATATATTTTTGAATGAATAAAGATAATCTTGGACTATCTGCCCAGGGGTAAGAACACAACAGCATTTCATTAGTATCTTTAGACAATCCCCTGCTTTTATTTTTGAATGAGAATACAGTTTGTAAAGCTGCTGAACATTGTAGCCATCCTGGTAGATGAACCATAGGCAAATAAATATTGCTGTTGCAAGTAGTCTTTCAGTTCACATGCCCAGGGATAGATGGGTGTTATTTACACTACGTTCAGAGAGACCTGGAGCTGGTTCCTATGTAGAAGATCCTGAGTTGATGTCTAGAAAAGCAAAAGGAATGGGTATTAAATGAAACCTGAAATTCAGTTTTGCAGGTGCAAAGTTGTTTATAACAGAAAGAATGTTATGTAATGGATTATAAAATGGCAAAGTCTGATACTGTCTGATGCAAGGACTGGGATGAGATTCCTACTCTCATGCCTATGCGGTTGGACGAAAGGAATGTTTTAAGGACAATAGCTTGAAAGCTTAAAAGACAAAGGAAGTCCTGCATGCTGTGCCTGGTTTCTAAAATCTGAAGGAAGTCTGGGTCATCAGGACAAGGGCTTGCATGCTGGGACATGCTTTCATCAGGACAAGGGCTTGCATGCTGGGACTATCCCAGAGCATCTTACCAGTCTACTTGATGCAAGGTGCTCGGATCATGTGTGCAAATAAGAAAAAGACAGATAGTTTAGGTACCAGGACATGCAGAGCAGAGTTTGTCTTCTATGTTTTCCCAGCTACTGATAGGTGAGCTAGCTAGATGAAAACTAGCTCAACTGTACTTTCATATGCTGCAGTTACACGCTCTTCTCATTTAAGATTAGTGTCCTGGTTTTGTCTGGGATGGAGTTGATTTTCTTCCTATTAACTGGTATAGTGCTGTGTTTTGGATGTAGTATGAGAATAGTGTTGATAACACACTGATGTTTTAGATGTTGCTAAGAAATGTTTACGCTGGACAAGGACTTTTCATCTTCCCGTGCCCTGCCAGGTGCGCGGGGGGCTGGGAGGGAGTGTGGCCGGGACGGCTGGCCCAGCTGGCCAATGGGCTATTCCATACCATATGACGTCATGCTCAGCATATAAGGCTGGGCGAAGAAGAAGGAGGGGGGGACGGTCGGAGTGATGGCGTTTGTCTTCCCAAGTAATCGTTACGCGTGATGGAGCCCTGCTTTCCTGGGGATGGCTGAACACCTGCCTGCCCATGGGAAGTGGTGAATGAATTCCTTGTTTTGTCTTGCTTGCGTGCGCGGCTTTTGCTTTCCCTATTAAACTGTCTTTATCTCAACCCACGAGTTTTCTCACTTTTACTCTTCTGATTCTCTCCCCCATCCCACCCGGGGGGAGCGAGCGAGCGGCTGCATGGTGCTCAGTGGCCGGCTGGGGTTAAACCACGACAATTAGTCAACATGTTGGAGTTCTAGTCACCCTTTCTCATAAGACAAAGAACCAAGTAAACTGAAAATGATGACAATGGAAGTCATTGCTTTGGTGTTGCGTTCATCTGAAAGGCAATGGAGGATTCAAAACAAGGACTGAGTGCCGATATGAGTGATAGCATTTTCATAATTCTAGCAGTTAACACTGAAATGATTAAACCCGGATTTTGGAAGACGCAGAAACCCAGGACAGGAACTGGCCTTTAATGATTGGAACCAATTTCCTTGCACTGAAAAAATCCCTTATTTACTCCAGAACTGCTGTTTCTATCCATTGAAATGGATACATATGCAATACAAACATGCAATAAGATTCTATCTCTTTATCCCTCGTGGAAGCAATATACTTTACCTTTCCAAAGCAAGAGCAGTTTAGGCTGGATATTCTGCTTACACAGTCTGTTTTGCTACTATCCAGAGCAGAGCAGTAGAACCAACAAAGTGGTAATTACTTACAACTCAGCAGGTGGTGGTCTGAAGTTAATACAGTGGTCTGCATATCTCTGGGCAGTGCTATCCAATTATAGACAGAAAAACCCATAAGTCCTTTTGAAACTCTTGGAAGGTCAAATGTGACACTGAGAGTTAAGCTTATACTGGATTGTTTATTTTCCTGGCATCTTGTTTTCCCCAGATGTGCAGTAGGAGATTATATTTTTACTTTAAATTGCCAGATTAAAACATTCCCGAAACACTTATTTGGCATCCAGTCAAGCTCAGATGCTCAGTTCCTATCTTCACTGACCCCTGCGGTCAGAGAAAATCTGCATGAGATAGTTTGCTCCTTTTGGTTTTGAAAGCTAAAGTCCAAGACCGAAAATGTTGGAATGAAAAGTATCTCACAGGTAACTGAAATATACAGATTGATGAAGTGAAGTCTAATGTGTACTGTTTTTCTTCAGGGTCCAATGGGAGTTCCAGGATTTCAAGGCATCAACGGGATCCCAGTAAGTTTGCATATGTAAATATAAATCACCAGAACGTTAGTCACAACCAAAAGCACGTAAGCACAATGAGACTGTCCTAGCACATGCATAGCGTATCTTGCAAGTGCTTGCTTCTCTCTGGAGGGAAATGGCAGTGTTTGTTAGTCTACCTGGTGATCCCATGCTGTTTTTGTAAGAAGTTTGGATCCTAGTATGGGATGATAGGAAGTTGATAAGGAAGTGAGCCTAGGTTACATGGGGATCCATTGCATCATTGATAAGCTTTTCTTTCAGCACCATGTTTTCTCAGCACCATGTCTAGAAAACACTATATCGTAAAATCATAGACTCACGGAATTGAAAGGGACCTCAGACAGTCAAACAGGCATGATCAGCTGTGCTTCAGGCCATTTTTAGTATGCGTTTCCTAACCAATTCTTAAAACCTTGTAATGATGGAGACTCTAACTTCTCTGTTAGAAAAGCTTTGCTAATGCCTAACTTCAGTCTGTCTTTCCACAGTTTAAACCTCTTAGTTGTCATCTTACTCATCGTGGACACAGAGAGCAGATTGTTCCCTTTTACTTTGTAGTAGCCTTCTTGTATGTGATAACTGTTATCAGGTCTCCCTCAATCTTCTTTTGCCATGATGTGAATTAAAACAGTGAGTCCTGAGGCCCTCCAGAGAATCCTTGCTTCTCCACTAGGTGCTAGTTCTGGTTTAGATTTGAGCCTTTCAGAAACCTGAGACAGGAAAGAAATAATTGCTGCCTTTTCCAGGTGATAGGGGTGGGTAACCACTTTCCCTGACCACCAGGAGGTTTTTTTGTTGTTTCTTTCATTCTTTAGAATTTTAACATTCTAGCGACAGTTGTTTCCTTTACGATACAAAACATTATGTGCCTAGAGTGTTTTGACCAGCTTTCTTTTGCTTTGGTTTTCCCCAGTGATTTTTGCAAAGATGTCCTACAGACACTTTACCTCAGTGGATTTTTAGCTGGCCCAGCTTTAGAAGTTGCCCCAAACTTCCTTACGCCCTCTACACTATTTAGCTTATCCTGCTTTCTCCTTCTGGTATTAGAATTCTTTTTCTTTTCTTGATGACATTTTTCCATCTTCTGTATCCTTGTGCCTTTGGACTATACTCATGCTCTTTCTCATCTTCCCTACTTCCTCAGCTGGCCAAGAGCTCCAACAGTTGAGCTGTGTTTTCTTACTTCCTATCAAAAACTGAATTGTTTTGATAGATTGGCTGAAAATGCACAGTTGGCCCTGTAAATGAGCTTGCTTGATTCCAGTTCCTTCCTGGCCCTTGTCCTTCTCTCCCCCTCTGCTCATCCTTGCCTGTTTTCTCTCCTACTCTACTCCCTTGCTGCTATATTTTTTTTTTTTTCCCCACCAGCCAACTCTCTAGCTCTGAAGAGAACAAGCTGTTCCCATAATACTTAATTTAATTGAACACACTGTGGGAACGTGCTGTTCTCAGGGTATTTTTTCAGATGGGGCTCTGGAGAAAGGGGATTCCCAACAATGAGGGGAGGCAGAGATACAGCAACAGCCATTGCCAGGTAGTTGGCAGCGACAGGCATTCCAAGGAGGGAGTAGGGGAGGTAGATGAGAGGATTCAAAGCCTCCAGCATATGCAGATCCAGATCCACTCTGTCTGCTTTACAGTATTCTGCAGGTGGGCAAATGGGAAAGAGGCAGATTTTGCTGCTCATGAACAGCAAAGTGCTCACCACTGTGGCTCTTCTGTGCCACAACTGCAGGACAGAAAAAGGGGAAGGGAAACTAGTTCATACTGTTTACATTCTAGCCATTGAGATAAATACTTCCATTCTAGGGTGAAAATAGCAACCACCACTGCTTGAGAAAATATTTATACTTTTGCCAGTTGCATTTCAGGATAGGGAGTAGCTTAGGTTTGTTGTGAAATATATACGAACATATGCACATTATATGGATGTGTGAAATGTAGAGCAAAGGAGAGAGAGCATGTGTGTGCTGATACATGTAAAAGAGAAGTAAAAATATATTGCTATCTCTGCACAAGAATATGCACCTAAATATGAAGAGAGATTCTTTGTAGTATGCAGGTGTGTTAGCATGGGCAGGTGTATTTTAGTCATGGCCAAAGGACTGCGAGGCTGTGATTCAGAGGGGAATCCCACTATTGACCTTAAGGGAAGTGGTGTTCCACAGAGTTCCCTAGGGGAATGCTAGTGGCAAGTAAATCATGTTGTTGCAGCTGGCCTGACTAATCCCTTTAACCTAGTAAATACAGCAGCTACGTGTGTTTATTGCTAGCCTTTCGTGTCACACTGTAGAAGAAACCCTCAAATCCTTAGACCTACTTGGGAAGTTTATTTTTTCCTATAGGACAAGATTCAAGGATACCTCTGGCAAAGGCTGGAACTGGAGCCAGGAGATGTATATAGCTTTTCATGAACTGTCCAAGGAATTCTAGATGGAAATATTTCTATGAGAAGTGAGCCCTTGTCTGTACCATGAAAGCTAGAGCTACATGGAGAGGCAAAGTTATCTATTTTGTGACCCTCCTAGAGGAAACACAAGCACTTGGTGATGGCTGTAAAAAGGCCACTTTGCCGTAGCAATCCATGAAACTGCTTATCCAATTAGTTTTGTGTTCATTCTTAATTGTATTTGTTTCCCTGTTTTTAAATATTTGTTGAGCTCTCCTGTTGGAATCGTCTTTGTGCTGTTTGATTTAGAAAAGAGGCCCCTTGGGATCATAGTGTTAGTGTACGAGCAAGAGTCAGATAAAGCAAGGGCCTAGATGAACAGTTCAAATTTCCTTATCTGTCTCACAGGGAATGTCTCCTTTTGTGAGAACAGAGCACAAGTGATCTCTTCAGCTTGTGTTTTAACTCAGGTCTGTAAACTAATCACCCTGCCATGTATAAGTAAAGCCTGTAAGTCTTCTGCCTTAGTCAGTTGAGGTGCTTGTGCTGAATTGGCACATCTGCCAAAACAGGAATTAGAGGTGAGAGCAGTGAAACTATTAAGCACCGTTTTTCAGGTCAAAGCAGTTCTTTAAATCAGTATTTTAAATCCCTGGGGAAAAGGTTCATTTAAGACAGAACTTTACAACTCTCAAGGAAGTCAATTGTGGGTGCTCAGTATCTCCTCAGGTAAGGTTCTTAAAACCAAACATTGTGAACTCTGATAGCATATTAGATAGAAAGTAGTAAATCCTGTGGATTTTTTTTCCTACAGCAAAAGAGACAGCATGTATGTGCGTGTGTGTCAGTCTGTGTCATGCTTTGGCTCAGAACCACAGACATGGGTGCCATGGGAGTAAGTGACAGGGCCAGAGGTTTATTTCATACACATAAGAAATCACTGTGATCAGCATACTTTATGTCCTCTCTTTGTGAGCCCTTCTCACATATTAAGAGGATACCAAAGTCTTTTGGGCCACTTACAGACTGTGTTGGTCCAAGAGTTAGGAGATCTCACCCAAAGCGTTTCCCAAGATACAAGGCCATCAGACAGCTGCCTGCCATGGGCTGGCTCTTGGCCAGCACTAAAGGCTTAGCAGCTTGGCTTCCCGTTGTCTAGCTCCAAGGGGCAGATGTTGGCTGTTCAGCTTCACTAAACCCTGCAGCTGGTCACCTTATGCTGTAACCAGATACATGTACACTTGTTCCACATAGCTTCTGGTTTTGTTGATACTGTAAACAAAGTGGAAGACCCGGTAGACATTGACTACTCTGGCCTCCCTCTGCAGTCATAGCCTGTCCCGTCAGAGACTTGCTGCTCTTGGCTATGACGTCTTGCATGGATGGAGGAGGGTGGGTTGCCACTGATTTCTTCCAGCTTTGGGAACCAAATGAAATAATTTCGAAGAGATAAACATAAGTGGCAATAAATTGGTGCTTCAGCCTTCTCCTGTCGCTTTACCAGGGTCTGGCAAGTCCCTGCTTGCACACCACATGTAGGTGTTTTGACAAATAGACTTTAATCATCAGGGCAACTGGTACTATGTATGCAGTGGTGCCTGATGCTAATGCTTTGGGATGACTTCATTCCATGTCCTGAGGCCTTGTTTAATCTCAAATTTATACTTGTCTGGGTGAGCTGTCTTGATCCTAAAGACACACTTTACATTCATTCAGTTTGCACCTTATTGATGGACAGAGAGCAGATCTGGGCTCTCTTCCCTCCTCTCCATTTTGTTGGCACAAATCGCAATGCAGTTGCCAAATGAGCTGGACCAAGGAACTCACCTGGCTGAAAATTAACCCCATTAAGAAACAGAACAGTTATTTCGCTGCTCTGTTGGTTTCCTGCTCTGACTCGCCTATTCTGCCTGTGCTTATGCTAGCACAGGGAAGAGGTAGGTGTGAGTAAGCAGGAGTGTGCGATGGCCCTCCTGGCAGCAGCTGAGACCAGTGATCAGCTTGAGTATTTATGTAATTATGGCCTAAGTTGCTCTGCATCCTTGGGAAAGTCGCTCTGCTACTGTGTGCCCCCAGCTTCTCATCTGTAAAATGAAGGTTATAGCATTCCCACATTTTTGCAAGGCATTTTAATTTAAGATCCTTGGATAAAAGGCTTTACATTACTGCAAAGTTCTCATTGAGTTTGGTCAGAGCATATGCTATTGGCTTGGACTGGGAAGACCTTTAGCAACACAAATGTGTTTTGTTTTAAGTGTCAGGCATGAAGGATTGTTAATGTTCTGCTTTATCTCCATTTTATCCATGTTTATTTTTTTACTTTCCTCGTGTGAGTCATAACTTGTTTAATGCCATATCTTAAGGATGAATCTTTGGGATCAAACAAAAGTACTTTTGGGATGAGTCAAGATCAGGGTGTACAGAGGGAAGGGAGAGAACTGTCAGTTACTGATACTATCTCCATAAGTTTCATTTTTCTTCCTGCCACAAAACACTGTCTTTAAGTGCCACAGAACTCATTTCTATGAAACGGAGGATAGAATAAGGAGCTGTTTGGAACCTGGGTAGTGTGACTAACAGTTCTGCCTTTCTGTGTTTTGCCTACACGTACCCATATGACACTGAAGAAAAAGTAACTAAAGTCTCAAACTTTGATCTCCTTTGCACCAGTGCCATGCTGAGTAAACTCCAGTCAAATTAATAGAGCTATACTAGGGCAAAAGAGGTGTGAAATCAGAATTAGGTACAATTGTATTCTACTCTGCTTGATTAATAATTGACGATTACAAACACACTCTTTTAAATGCTGTTAGTTTAATTAGGTCTTTCTCCCAGTTGCTTTGCTGAAGGTTTTAAGTTTAATATAACAAGAAAAGCTGTTTTGCTTGAATGGACTGATGCTGGAGCTGTAACATCTGTTGAACTATTAAAGGAAAGAATCCACACTGGAGAGGAAGAGAAGTCACTGAAACTTTAAGCAGATTGGAATTATAAATGCTCAGTATTGTTGAGTCTGCCTCTGCCCTTGTTTTTACATGAGCAACTTCCATTCCTGGTGTCAGGTGCACTCTTGCGTGCTGTTTTACACTGTGTTATATGCCATATATTTCAGACTGCTGTGGGATGAGTATTGCCCTTTTGGGACCTACTCATGCACAAGTTATGTACTTCAGAAAATTATCCCTTGGAGAAAAAGGTAATTAAATGAATGCAGCCAATGTTCTAGGATTTAAGCTTTGGGGAGGATAAACAATGCTGACCGAAGAAGCTAGTTCTGTTGCAGTCTGCCATACACTGAACTTGAGTGGGAGTTGTGCGTTTCTTTTGTTTTGTGTTGCCATTTGGAAGATATCAGTTTTCTGGGGACAGTATTACTAATAAAATAATGCATCCTGTCAGTCATTTGCTCTTTTTCCCCTTTACACAGGGTCACCCTGGGCAATCTGGACCTAGAGGTCTGCCTGGCCTCGACGGCTGCAATGGTACCACTGGGAGTCCTGGCGTTTCTGGATCAGATGGGTTTCCTGGCCTACCTGGGCTGCCTGTACGTCAGTTTGAATATGGTGTTTTGTAGTCACTAAGCCAGGACTTGCTTTTCATGCCATTGTTGGAAAAGTAATTCCCAAGTATTTAGGAAGAACCTTAATAACACTAAGTTTATTAGCATTGTTAGAGCTCAGTATCATTTTCTTATTGAAATTCCACTCTGAGGATAAAATTAAGATCCTGTGAATTCAGTATGCTCCCACAACAAGTTATACCTTTGTCACTGGCAGTATTCAAGCTAACTCAGAAGAAACCATGATAAAGTTTTTAAGAACCATGAAGGGTCAAACATCTTCCACCTGGCACTTTTCAAGTTAGTGGATGCTGATTCAGGAAAGAATGTTATTACATATTCAAGTCTATGCATCAAATATTGGATGCCTTCCTTCAGGCCTTAAGATAGCCAAAAACTTCAGTCTCACTGAGTGTCAATAGGATTTACTTTCCAGGGTAAGTGTTTTACTTTTGAAAACACTCTTCTACGAGCTTGGAGTTTTATCTAGCCTGCATTGGACACCTTAAAGTTAAGTGTCTAATCTATTCATCTGGAATCCCCTCTTACAGAGAGTGGTACTTGCGAGAGCATTTCTCCCCCTCTACCTTTCAGCATGGATTGTCTTTGGAGATACCCATTTTTCTGCATTGACTGTAGAGGAAGTGAAAGTAGCTGGATCATGCTCTACACTCTGTTTTAAGTGGGTAGGATTAGTTGTAAGAATTCCACTCCTAGATGTTTTTGGGAATTAGTCTTTTATAAAAGTACGTGGTTATTTCTGAAATGTAAGAAAAAAATATTTGACTTGATATTAAAATATTTGAGAAATATTTGAATATTTGTTCACATTCGAAGCCTGATCTTACAAACACAGGTCATGTGACTAATCATACATGTAATGGAATTCCTTTGCACCTATCCATGAAGAAGAGGAAGAAAATACAGCTCGCGGATGTAAATAAAGCCATTTGTTTCAGCATTTCTAAACTGTGCTGAGACATCTTTACATGTCATCCAGACTTGAAATTCATATGATGTTGAAAAATACTGAAGCAATAAGATCAAATTAAAGTACTGCGTTCTAAAGTAACTGATTTACGCATACCTGCTGCTCAAATTTCTATTCTGTAATGCTTGTAAGATTACATTTTTGGCAAGGAAAGCTGCTTGGATCAGCCAACCCCTCTCAAAGTAAGTTGGCAATTAAATGAAATCACCTCAGAATAAATTGGAGGGGATGATCAAGATTAAAATAAATTGGGTAAATCTAGAATTATAATGGCAGCTTTTTCGGAAGATTCATGCAGTCTACCAGTTTTTTCTTTCATTGATTCTAAACAAAATTCGGTGATTTACAGTGTTAAACGAGATAGAATCATAGGATGGTTTGGATTGGAAGGGACCTTAAAGATCCATATAGTTCCAGCCCTGCTGCCATGGGCGGGGATACCTTCCACTAGACCAGGTTGCTCAAAGCCCCATCCAGCCTGGCCTTGAACATTTCCAGGGAGGGGGCATCCACAACTTCTCTGGGCAACCTCTTCCAGTGTATTACCACCCTCACAGTAAAGAATTTCTTCCTAATATCTAATCTAAATCTACCCTCTTTCCGTTTAAAGCCATTACCCCTCATCCTATCACTACACTCCCTGATAAAGAGTTCCTCCTTAGGCCCCCTGTAAGTACTGGAAGGTCGCTATAAGGTCTCCCCAGAGTCTCCTCTTCTCTAGGCTAAACAGCCCCAACTCTCGGAGCTTGTCCTCATAGGGGAGGTGCTCCAGCCCCTCCATCATCCATGTCTTTCTTGTGTTGGCGGCCCCAGAGCTGAACACAGTACTCCAGGTGGGGTCTTACGAGAGCTGAGTAGAGGGGCAGAATCACCTCCCTTGACCTGCTGGCCACACTTCTTTTGATGCAGCCCAGGATATGGTTGGCTTTCTGGGCTATGAGCGCACATTTTCATCCACCAGTACCTCCAAGTCCTTCTCCACAGGGCTGCTCTCAATCCACTCATTGCCCAGCCTGAATCCATGTTTGGGATTGCCTCAACTCAGGTGGCCTTGTTGAACTTCATGAGGTTTGCATAGGCCCACCCCTCTAGCCTCTTAAGGTCCCTCTGGATGGCACTGATATGTATATGAACAGGAGGGTTACGCCATGTCAAACATTCAAATAGGATCTTAAAAGTTGTCCAAGATCTAAAATAAAAGGGAAATCTAGTATAAACAGGAAAATACCAGAGAAAATGTTTGCAGAACCTTGTTTTTCTAAAGCTGCAGGAAGTCTTAAGTTCTCATAATACCACAGCTTCTTTGACAAAGCTGCAGTGGTACTTTTGCAGTTTACTGGAGCCAGGAGTTTGCCTTGTTCATTATGCTGAATGTAAATTCTTTCAAAACTAAATCAGTATTTTTTCCAGAAATTTATTTTTGACTTTTTTTTTTTTTAAAATCAGGGTCATCCTGGCCCAAAAGGCCTTAAAGGAGAACCTGTTTTTGCTCAAGGTGGTCTTAAAGGAATGAAGGTAAGACTTGTCATCACATAGGAGAAAATGCAGTACAAGAAATACTTTGATGCCCTACAGGTTGCAGGGCTGATGCTGCAGGTTAGATTGCTCATGATACTAGATGTGGGTATCCTGGGTATGTCTGAATGCAGAGCTGTGAAAAAAGCCTTGTAATAACTTCATTAATGACAACACAGAATACGCTCAGAACTTGGAATTGCTTGGTCTTTGCAGAGATCTTGTTCATCCCATACTGGGATGCTGGGACATTGCTCATTCTGTTACTGTTCAGTGTAGTTGTTGGTCCTTCACTTGTCTCTGGAGAGCTAGCACCATTTGTTTGTGGTGTCAAACCATGGATGTGAGGAATTTCTTGTAAGCTTATCCTGACTTATATGAGGTAGCATATGTGTTTCTAGATGCAGATGTGGCAAAGGAGGGGCCCTTCACCTGCACTCGGAACTTTCCTGTACCTGACATCTTTGCATGTGCCAGGTCTGTTGAAATAACAGCTCAGGAAACTCGCAAGTGCATGTTAAGATTTCTACTGTGAGATCCCAGCTGCCTCCCAGTGTTTTTTGTACTGGGAGGTACCAGTAAGTAATCAGTCATATTCTCGGTTTAAATACATGAATATCATATCCCACTCATAGTATTCCATCCTTTGCTGCTGTGAAGCCAGGATTTTACTCTCTCTATTTAATAAGGACCTCGCCCTAAAATGTCTGTATCAAGTCTGTAATTTTATTTCCTGTACAGAAAATACAAACTGTGGATAGACAATTTCAGTTTATTGTTCAGAACAGTTCAGAATATGCTCATGTAAAAGATTTGGTTCTTTGTTGCCTTGAAACAAACACTCACCAGCTTACCATGGTTTGGATTTTTGCCAGAAGTACTAGGATTGAAATAAATCTACAAAGGATTCAGTACCTCTTGTGGTACTGAATTCAGCAATAGTTAGCAGCCTCATGCTTCATTAAATATTGAAAATATTAAGACATTTATTCTATCATGTAAGGCCCCTCATACTGACTTTGTTGGTCAAAATTAAGAACTTTTCTAAAATTCTACCCACATTATATACAATCATAAGTTGGTAACAGTTGAAGAGATCTTTATTTATTTACTTCAGTATTTATTGGAAATACAGATAATTTGATATAATAATGGTATGCTTTTACATATTTTGTAGTGGTTTTTTAATGAAAGTTTTTATAGTGTCTTTTCCAGTGTTTTTACAATTAATACAAATTTTTTTTCATACCGCTTCAGTTTCTCTTGTTACCCATAAATAAAATGGTTGTAATTTCTCCGGGGTTTTGGAATCTCTCCATTACCCAATTTAAATATGGAAGCACAGGTGTCAAAATATTTTCCCATTTACACTTGATCTAATATTAACTAACAGCAAGTATTTCTATTTATACAAAACTTAATGTTCCTTATAGTTTGTTGCAATGACATATTGTCGTTTTTACTCATGCATTTATAATTTTTAGGGAGAAAATGGTCTTCCTGGATTGGATGGAATTTCTGTAAGTTATTAGTTTGGGGAATAATAATTTTAAAGAATATTAAGTAGGTAATTTTTCTTGTATTTGTTCTCAAGGACAATTCAAATTAGTGGGCCATGTATTTACATGTGTGATACCAGTAACATGAGCAATTCCAGCTTTATGATGGTATGAGTAGATCCACATTATGGTAGAGGAGGTCAGATTTTTGCTATTTGTTCCATTTTTCCTTTTTCAAATCAAACTCCCTTCTACCATTGAAGTCTGTAACTTTGATTTTCAAAATACATCTAATAATACAAAATGGATTGTTGTAGTATTTAAATTGGCATACTTAATTAGGGGCTATTACTTAATGTTTCCTGAGACTCACTTTGTCTTTGGTTGGGATTTGATGGGGTAAGTGCTACATATTCTGTATTTGTCCTATGTTCTTCTTATAGGGCCCAAAAGGTTCTCCAGGTCCAATAGGTTCTGCAGGCCCTATAGGATTACCAGGTTTGCAGGTAAGAGACCTCAACTGTTGCACTTGTTGATAGAACAGTTCAAAATGTTGGCAATTTTCCCTCCTTGGCTGTATTTGTCTCATGACAATGAGCAAAAGTGTGTGTGCATCTAAAAGGACTTCAAACGTGGAATACTTGAACTTAGATAGTTTAATCTAATCACAAGAGGGAAGGCTCCTCTCTGGAGTAGTGTTCAGAGCAGCAATCATGAATGAGGGCTCCAGCAAAGCCCTAGAGTGCTGTCTACAAACACTACATTATACTATTCTGAGCACTTCCTCAGCTCGGGACTAGAGGGAATATGCTGACCTTCTGCATGTTCGGGGCCTTTATCATCATGAAATATGCTAAAGAGTTGTTTTTTCAAGATACTACAGGAGAGTTTCCATTGGGCAGAGGTAAAAACGAACTACATCTTTGTTGCTTTTAAATCGAATTTTGCTCTTAATTAACCACAGTACCAAAGGGCTATGCTGTCTATTATGAAGTGAAGACTTGAAGATCATGTGTATCAGTTACTTTTGCTTTGGGGGCAAGAGATGAAAGTTCAGGTACCACTGCAGATCCCAGCATTGCTCCAATTGTGTGCACCCTAATTAAGTCAAAAGAAATAAAATCTTGATCTTGTTCACGTTTAGGGTCCAATGGGTCCCCCCGGGCCACCAGGTCCAAAAGTAAGTACCTACCTTTTCTGTCTTCTTTCCACACCTGATCGTTGGGTTTTTTAACAGTGCTGTGGGCCTAGATGATAGTGATGCTGCTGTTGCTGTTGTTTTATTATTCATTCATCATTGGTTTTTTTCTCTCCTAGGGTAACATGGGATTAGGCTTTCAAGGAGAGAAAGGAGAAAAGGTAGGTGAAACTTGTTCTATTATGGAAAGAGCATGAAATAATACTCTAGCGTTCCATCATAGCTTGATCCTCTAGAAAGTGGCTGGATACTAGCGTTTTCTTCTTTTCCTTTGTTTTTTTCTTCTCTTGGACTGATTGACAGTCCAAATACTAAAGAGTCTTGCTGGTTCCTTGTCTGTTGGTACACAAAAAAAGGATGGGAGCTTTTTCTGGATGAAGAGGGGGAAAGGGAAAATCTCAATTCAGCGCAGTATTTTCATGGTTATCGAGACATGAGGTCCTTAGACATCTTTTGAATCTCTGTCTTTCAGTTTCTTTGGACTCTCACCTCTTGTATTGAATTATTCTGCTGACTTTATTCTTTCTGGCTTTCATAATATTCTTTGGGTCAACCGATGTGTAATTTATAGTCTCATTATCCTAAATGGGTGTCCTGCAGTCTGTGTGAGAATTTACACTGGCATAATGGGGCTTCTCAAAGTTCACAATTTGGGACTTGATTCTGCTGCTCTTAAAATCAGTTCTCAGCATTCTACACTTCTAATTGTTACTTGTCTTCTTTTCTTTCATATTTCTCCCCAAAGTTTTTCTGGGATGTTTACCTGTGGATTCAAAAGCTGAGCCTTTTCGTTTTTTTTCCCTTGCCATGTTTTATATCCACGATGCCTCTGAAACAGATTTAATGCATTTTGTTCATCTTAATTTTCAGTCTGATCTTTTGACTTCCATGACCAAACTCCTGTGCCAGCATTAAGGGGCACAGATATTATGTATGTGGGATATAATTAGGGTGCTTTTATCTGATTCACAAGCCACTTTGATAGGAAATCAAATATGTTATGCCTATGTTAATGGCTTCCTCTTTTGCCAACAGGGTGATGTAGGGCTGCCTGGCCCTCCAGGTCCCCCACCATCCACTGGAATACTGGAATTCATGGGATTTCCAAAAGGGAAGCAAGGAGAAAAGGTCTGTAAATTCAGTTTACAAACCCTCCCCCTCCCCATGCTCCTTCATTCAAGGCTGAATGAAATTACTGGACAGTGAGGGCTGCTATATTTCCAAATCAAAATAATTTTCTTTACTAGTTTAATCTGTCAGATCGCTATTGAATAAAAATTTTCTTAGCTCAGAGCATTGTGGACCACTGGAGAATGCATACCTTTCAGAAGGAGAAATCTGAAAGGTATTTAAAGTTTTTTGTCCTTAATCCTAAAAATAAATGAACTGTAGTTTGTTTCTGTTGGACCTGTGAAATTATGTCAATTGAAGCAAAAAAACCCAAATCCATTTAGAAAAATAAATAAAAAGCTCCAGCTCTTTTGGTTTGGCTATGATGCGCACTACTCTGAAATAATCAGATTTCTCTCCTTTATTTTGTTATCCTGGCATTTATTGAGATACGTATCTAGCTCATCAGTGTTTTTATAAAAGCTGTATGGATCTTGAGTTAAACATTCTCTACACGCATGAAATTTAGGTATACTGAATTAATCTGGACCTATACAGGCTGGTTTGGGAGCCCAGTGTGAGCTTGCCTAAGCCCCTGCATAAGTCATGAGAGATATTGTCTTTCTTGGTGGAGTTAGATTAGCGTGAGGTGAGATTCAAACAAACGCCATTCCTTTTGGCTCACTCTTGAATTTGTAAGCAGGATTGTGAAGACATTATGCTATCTTATGTGTTATTTTGCTGCTTTCCACAAAGTACTGTGCATGTTCCAATTCCCTAGGTGACAATATGAAATGCTTCTAGTTTGACTTCTAGCAGTGGAGGACAGTAGAACAACAGTTCCCAAGTAGTGGTCTTTGAAGCCATGGAAAGTGGTCACAGACAATCTGTTGCATGCACTGGCACTGTGCTGAGAGACACTGTATCTGGCACATGATGACACAAATCAAGTATACTTGCTGACAAACAAATTACAAGGCCTTACTTTAGGAGTCAGGAGCATGATGGGTGGATTGGGGAAAGTCTTGCTTTCACAGGCACAGTGTTTTATTTTGTTTACCTCTTCCCCTTGTCAGGGTGAGCCAGGCCCTCAAGGATTCCCTGGAGACAAAGGATTGCCTGGCATGCCGGTAAGGACAGCGGAGAGTGGTTAATATATGCCTAATATGGGTTAGATGGTTCAACACCCTCTGAACAGCTCACAAGGTCTCTACAGGAGCTTCTAGGCACCAGAGTACTTTGAAAATCTGATTAAAATGTCCACAAGACTTTTTGAAGCGTGTAACTGTAATCTGATAGCTTTTTGTCCTGGAGATACAAGGAAGATAATGCCGTCCTACTATAGACGTTACAAAGCAGCCATCATTTCAGTGCATGTAATCTGCTGTTTGCAGAGGAGACCTGCAAGTACACATACTCTTTACATGGCCACTTGATGGCAGTGTTTCTTGATGTCCCACAGAGCACTCGACATATTTTTTAAAAAATCCTTTTTTTTCCCTTTAATTATGTCTAAACATATTTTTTGTTATTTTCATTTAAAGTTGTAAAGCACATGCAGATCTTTGTCTGTCTATATATATCCAGTTTTAAAATGGGCTGTTTAACATTAGTGCTCATAAACTCAGGAGTGTGTAGCATCTTCTCTGTATGAATCAAGAGCAACAATTTATCCCTGGATTCCAGAGAGCTATTTCCCAGCTTATAACCTTTTGTAAACACAGGTTATTTTGATAAGTTGAGGGAATAAATATTTTGTGGAACTTCTGACTAATAAGATAAATTGTTTGCCAGTTTCTTCAACGTACAGATGTTCTTAGTAGAAAGACGTGCAAGAAAAACCTGTACGTGAAGCACAGTTCGTTATTAGCCTTTCTGGACGTGTTCCATTATGTGCATGGTTAGCTTTATGCATCACAAGAGGCCCATTGAAGCTGGTGGGGTTGAACATATGTGTGAATTTAACCACAACCATAAGATATTTCAAGATTGAAGCCTGAAAATTGCTTAACTACTGTAACTTTTGCTGAAATTAAATCCTGGTGTTCCATCTCTGGATTTGATATTTCTTGCTGACTGGGAAAACCTCTGAACATTTCCAAATGTTGAGCGTGAAAATGCTAGTTTTGTGTCATTCTTAGGCTTTAGAAATGAAAAAGGGTGCTCTGAGCACTCCCTCGGGCTGCTGCTGCTAAGAAATGAGATTTGAAATAATTTCTAAATGTAGAATACAATACAGAGTAGCAGTGGCAGGACTTTGCTGTTTATAGCACGGGGTTACTTGCATTTGCTACTGAGAGATGTGCCATGGTTTAAATGGATGGAAGTAATGGGCAATGAAGAAGATAACGTGCTGCACATACCGCCAAGTCTGGTTGATACAGGTTTTCTTTCTGGGGCAAAAGAGTCCCAGCAGAAACAGTCAGTTCCCCTTGTCTCTCTGTTGTATTTTTTTATATTAATAGATGGGTTTGTGCTCATTTTGTCTTAGGATTGTGCTACTCAATTCCAAACAGATCACAGATTTAATGTTGACATTTTTCCTCAGGGCTTTGGAGGTGTTGGAGAAAAAGGAGAAAAAGGTGTGCCTGGCTTACCAGGTGGCAGGGTAGGTAACTTTACAGTGTCCTTAAATGCCTGTTCGCAAACACATGAAGTGGGCCTTTCATCAACAGAAGCATTCCCAAAGCATGTAGGAGTCTCAGACACAGGACTGGGTCCCATAGTAGCCAGCACCATACAACAACAGAACCAATGAATAGTTCTTATCTCAGTAAAGTCTCAGATTAAAGATGAGATGAAAGGTGTATACAGACAAGGTAGTCCAAGAAAATCATACGGAAGTATTTAGTGGAGGTCTTGATACTGCAGGGCCTGTGTTTTTCCAGTTTTTTTGAAAGCTTCACAGTAAAGGAAGCTTGCAGGAGGTCCAAATGGAGATAATAAAGAGGCCTTGCAGGGGCTTTAGGGAGCTCTTAACCAGTGCCAGAACCAGCCATGAGAGAACACAGATAGGTATTTGGGAAGCAAACGGGCAAGCTGCAATAGATGTTGGTTTAACTAGTCAATGATTGCGGGAGTTAACAGCATGCTCAATCACACACCAGCCATAGATTCTTCAAACCATGATGACCCTGCAGAGACGTGCTTATACACAACAAGAAGACCAAGGCATTCTGTTCTGCATGTGCAGAATAAATTGTCAAGATAGAAAGTCTTGATTGCATTAAGTTTCATGGCTTTATAATTACAAACTAGCTACCTAACTTCCTAGTAAGTCAAGACACCATGAGTTATTTTACTTGAACCGCTGATTAGAAAGACAATGACTAAAGAAGATAAGACTTCTTTTATCAGTTATTCTGCTGAATTCTTTCAATTATTATTGAGAGATATGGAAAATCAGTGGTAGCTTCTCCTTTTGAAAGTTTTACCTTTTCATTCTTTGGTGCTGAGATATTTGGAGCCTGATATAATAAGACCAGACTGAGATAGAGCCTCTGAAAGTTAATGGTTTTTTTGCTGTTCTAGGGTCTTTTGGGACTGGATGGATCTGATGGGATTCCTGGGAGAAAGGTGAAATTTCTTTTATTTTTTACTGTACTTACAGTTACAGAAGCTATCTAACTGTTTAAGATCTACTGACTTCCTTATCTAGTGACTCCAAGTTCTCTGATGGATGAATGCACCTGACTTACTAAACTAGTGAGAGCTGATGCGTAAAACTGTAGATCCCTTTAACTGTGTCTCTGGTTATCCTTACGTATTCAGAGGACCATCTCCACAGATTGGAAATTGTACATTCCCTCCTGGAACAATCAACTCTCCCACTTTTCCTCTTTTGGGGTGGAAATGGCCAGGTGATCAAGTGGCTGAAAACACGTTAAAGCACTTCCACTTGCAGATACAGCAGTGGAAGTTGTTCAAGAAAGCAACTTTCAGAAATACAATTTTCATTTTGCATCCTGGAATTCAGTCACTTTCTTATATATTTTGTTTTATGTATGTCCTTTTCAAGATATACTGAAGGTGATGGTATCTCCAATATAATCTAATTCATATCTATATGTTACAATTATATGATTAAAAACAAGCCCTGTATGACAAGTTTCTCAACAATACTGTGTATGGGCTATATTGGGGCCTACAGCTGTCCAAGACTTCAGCATCACAGGTGACGTTTAAAGTTAAGATTCCCTGCTCCAGAGCTCTTGGAATATCCCATTTTGTCTGCAGTGGCAGTGGGATTTGCAATCCATACTGGGCCAGGTTGAATATGTTACCCAGTAGAGAACAGTAGATCAGTTCTGTGGAGATTTCCAGTCACGCACCCAGAAGGGGAATTTTGGAGTCCCTGAGAACGCTACCAGGAAATGGGTAGCTGGAGAGCTGGATCTCCCAGTGTCACTTTAAGTGTTTTGATGCCAATAATTTGTTGGAGAGGGAACAGAGTGGAGGGGCAAGTGTTGGGGACAAGGAAAATAATGTTCTAGACTCCTCACTCCACAAGCATTTCTATGGTTCTGTGAGAACTCCAAGGGTTCCTCCTGGTTTGGACACTCTCGTGCCTGCTCACAAGTTCTCACCATCTTTACAGCACAAGGAGGCCTAAAGGAGCTCTGGTATTTTGTGAGTGCTGAGAAATTGATGCCATCAGTTTTTGCTTTCTTTATTTGTTCTGCAAATGTTTGGTAGGACAATGAATTGGGTTTGTGATTCAGGTCCGGGCACTGCAGATGTCTTAGCTAACCAGTAATGCCACTGTCTTATTGTCTCACTGTGTAACAGCGTTCACCTGTGTGACTTTACAGGGTCATCCAGGTATTCCAGGCTATCCAGGACTGGATGGAGTCGAAGGCATGAAGGTAACTTCTCACATGAAAATACTAAAGCATTGCTTTTTTAAAGATATTTGCATGAATGAATAAGTATCATTACCTCAATCAAATCTCTTTACCTCTGTATCACTGTAATTTTTGGTATATTTCAGTTCCTCATTTACTTTATTGTTAAGGATAAAAATGAATGGTTACTGAACTATGAACATATTTTAATACCTTTACAATATTCATTCATGTAACTTCATGACTTACAATTGTAGGTGTAGTCTCTCTGGTCTCCTTTATCCTTACACCAATGCCATATTTACTGGACAATTGAGACAAGATTAGGTGGAAGTAAGTGGATGTTAAGATAGTTGCCAAGGCTATCTGAAGTCTTAGATCACAGATCTACAAGTATTGACAAGCTTGAAAAGAACGTGTTCAATTTCTCATACTGGAGATAGGCAACGCTTAGCAGACATTTTCTGGGTATCTCACAACTTGGGCAGTTGGACATCTGGAAACTCAATGGAAAATGGTTGGATAGTAGTTTGCTGTGAAAAACACTTATCTGACACCAAGAGTGGTTGAAGTGGAATGCAAATACCTGAAGAGCTTTTTTATGCAGAGCACATGGAAGAAGTAGTAGTACAGGTTTATGCACAGAGGAGTATTACTGGAAGAAGCAACAAAGTGTGCACTGCCTTGGCTCACTGCATGGTGTTTATATTATAAATATGATGGCAATTTGGACAACAGCTGGATTTTGCACTTGCTATTTCAAAGAGGATTTGATACAGTGTTAGAGTGAGAGGAAGGAATGATACTGCAGTTTGTCACGACTTGCTTGTTCTGCCTGGGGGATTTTATGGAGGAATCCCATTTTCCTGGAAGCTCCTATGATTGAAATTCAGGATTCCAAGGCAACACATAGCTGCAGTGATGAATGCTTTTAAAAATGGGTATGTTCATAGCAGCTCTTTCGCTTTTACCACAAGGTTAACAAATTCGATCTATCTGATATTGGTCAATATGGTCAATTCTGTACACATGGTATATACATGTCTGTGCTTCCTATTGAGGTAACGGGATACCTTCAGAGGATAACTGGATAGTAGCAAACACTTTATCTGAAGCAGCCATCAGTTTCATCGGACAGGAAGTAGGTGAGTCAGGAAGCAGATTATTGTGAATAGCAGAAGAACGAAGTGAATTCTTCACCAAGAAAAAGAATGATGGTTAGTCAGTGAATGACCACAGACATTGCTACCATAATACAGTCTGTTTCCTGACAAGCAGTCTTCCCCTCCATCACCCCTCTGAATGTGGCATGAATCTGTTTTCTTCTACAGGGTGAATTAGGTGACATCGGTCCCCCGGGCCCTCCCATCGTTATTGACAGGGAAGGTGTAGTCATTTCAGGTATACATTTCCGTTTTGTTTCGGAACTTGTCAAAAGCACTTTTTCTGATCCAACTTTCCTTCTTACTATATTTTACCAATTTTCCACATTGTGTATTGAGTCTAACCGATCCCTTGTTATTTTTCCTTTAATTTCTGTGTTGTTGGCATACAGATACGTTTGGTCCCATATTCATAACTTCAGAGTTTAAAATAAACCTTTAATCCCCACATTGCAGAATGATATCTTTCAAGGCAGAATGAAATTTAGTGCCTGGGAGGCTGACTGTGTGAGCATGGGGAAGTGCTGTGTGTCTACCTGTGTGTCTTTCTTCAGTGTACTAAGGAAAAATGGCTTCCTTGTGTTGCTTGGAAATGGGTACTCTGAATGTCATTCTGCTATTATTTGTCATTCAATGTGGTAACAATATTGTTAAGAAAATGAGCGGAATTAACACCACAGCTGAATGAAGCCTGTATGGAAACAGTCTCTAAAGCTATAAAGGTAAGGGGACAAAGTATATGATCTCTCCTATTCTCCCTCCTTTACATGCAGTCAAGTTTGAAACAACCTCTACCAGGTCAGGAGGAATTTTTTCTGTTACTGGTAACTTTGACTAACAGGCTTACTGCTAACGGCTTTGCAACCTTTGCTGTCAATGAGATCAGTGGCCACCAGGGTATTGACTAAACGGAGTTTTTCAGCAGAAATTCTCATGAGTTCTTCCTCCTTGTTTTTCTGTATTTTTCTAATAGGTGCCCCGGGTGACCCTGGAAACCCGGGAATACCTGGTCCCCCAGGAGATGAAGGGATCAGTGGTTTACCAGGCCTTCCAGGAGCTCCAGGGTTTCCAGGCCTGGAGAGAGGTAAAGCAGCTGCTGACAGTGCCCTTAGCAGGCTGTTTTCTGTGTTTGTTGCTGAGAAGACTATGGGTAGTGGCCTGGAGATGGTGAAGGTATTGGAGCAAGCCTCTCCCTGCTCCTTTAGCTGGCTGATTTGCAGACTGCTGTATGAGCCATAAGAGGCAGGGATGACACACAGGGAAGCCAAGTATGTTGACTTGGATGGGAGCAGAATTAGTCCCACAATGATTACAGCCCAGGTAAGTCTTCAGGTGTGAATATTTGGTGTAGCAGTGTACACAGGAGGTTGGTTGTTTGATTTCCATTTCGAATGAATTGATTGGCATAACCTTTCCTACATTTTAAATAATAGCAAATGTTTTTGAAAATTATTTTTTTAATGACTTTTCATATTTGCAATAGAGAGCTAACAGACTGGCTAGGTAAACCCACTGTAGGTGGAACCCATTTGTCTCATCAAAGATCTCACTTGAAAGTTTCTGTTTCACTTGAATGTCATCAGTGAAGTCCTGGCCTGCAATGATCCAGAAACTAGGAATTACTAAGGAAGTTATCTCACTCAAAGGAAATAAATAAACAACAGTCTTACATAGTTAATTGTCTAACTGATCAATGGGACTTAAATGCAGCCTTGTGAAGTTTTTTGGATGACCAAAGGAGAGTGTAAATGGGAGCCAGTTGGTGCCTCCGATTAGTAAGTTTTCCTTTGTGTGCAATTATAAATTGTTCTGTGCTAACATGATTGCAGTTCAGGGCACAACAGTAATTTTCATAACATTAAAAATACTAGAATGTGTTTGCTGCTGGAGAGCTGCTCATTGTGTCATTGTTGTCTAGATGGAATGGGCTCCGGAGGGTCACCAGGTATTCCAGGTGTGAAGGGTGAAGTGGGAGAACCAGGAAGAGCAACGATTGGATTACCAGGCACTCCTGGCAGAGATGGTTTACGGGGCCTGCCAGGAGCACCAGGATTGCCTGGTTCACCACGTATGTGTATTTTTAACATCTGTTTTCATATTGGATTCAGAGTGGAACAAGACAAATAATCATTTATATATTTATTTCTTTGCCAGTAAGGATTATTCCTCTGTAAATCTTAAATGTTTGGTTGACACCTCATTGTGATTGTAACTCACAACCTTAAATATCTGTATCAGCAGCCACCCCTCTCAAGTAAGAAAATACAGCTAATTATTGTTAGAGTGGTAACCTGAGAAACTGAAGCACAAGGTTGTGTAGACACAAGTTATGACACCGAGGACTTTGAATTTCGAGGCTAGTCTCCTACTGGCTTAGATAAAGAATAGACCATGACCTTATGAGCATCTGGGGTAAATATCTAGTCTTGTGAGTAGGTGTTTTGGGTACCACGAGTCAGATAGGATGCCTGAAGAGACAGTTTTCAGACCTAAGGAAATGTGATTTTATTTTTACATGTTCATTTGTATGGATGCCCTGTTTGGATTAATTATGCATTGTTTTGTTTTCCTCAGAAATTGAGTATTACATAAAAAGGGTTGATTTTACACAAACCTTGTGTTTTACCATTCTGCCATAAACTGAGTTCAAACATCCTGTTTTATTTTTGAGAGCCTACCTTTCAAAACAGGGCACACTGCAGTGATGGAGCCAATGAGCATGGTCTGATTAGATGATTTTCTGTGGAGGAGAAATAAGTGCTCTCTTATCAATTGCTAGTCAAATCCAGGTCATTTTTCTGCAGAGTCTGTAAAGCTCTTGTAGCTGTTTTTAGCTGATGGTTGTGGTTTGTTTCCATGGAAAATCAGACGGATGCTGGTCAGCACTCCATCTTACTGTTGTCACTGAGGGGAAGGGTTTTCAGACACGGTAGTTTTAGATTATGTTAGATCACTTTCCACTGCTGTTTCTGTCAGCTCATGTTTCATTCTATTCAGCATATAAAGAGATGTAGAAAATAATTCCTGTGAGGGACAGGGAAAGTCCCCATAACCTTTTTGCCTTTCAGTCTCTTTCTTGAGCTGCAGCAATGTAATGAGAAGTTGAGGAGCTCTGCAGAAGGCAGGTAGCCCTGGGGATGACTCTACCATGCCAGTAGCAGCAGGGACACTGCTCATATATGATAGCTTCTGTGCCAACAAAAAGGACATCACAATCACCTAATACATTGATTTGTCCCTTCAACTTCTATCCATATGAGTCTCAGCTTCTCCCAGAGCTGTAAAGGCACATCTGCCATGAACTAAGTCATTTGCCCTTCTTTATACAACCAGTTCACAGTTTGGTTAGTTCTTCGGCCAACTGTTAAGTCTTTGAAAAAGTGCAATGGTAGAGCAGTAGAGGAATGAAACTCTGTTGCATCCACATTGTGAGAGCTTTTGCTTTTCTGTATGAGAAACTAGAAGCAAACGTATGGCAGAGGACTGCAGCCTGTGACACCAACCAAGTTCCATCTCCTTGTGAAACTTCCACAGTTGCAGTTTGATCCGGTGCCATTTCTGTCAGTTGCATGACTGACATTGTAAGTAATTAATGAGCTGGAAATCTAGCCTTCTTATGGCTTTTGCTTGCCTTCTTTCTGCATATAGGCCCTTCATTCCCCCCAGACACGATCCTGGATGGAAGGACTGGGGCCCCAGGGGAGCCTGGACAAAGAGGGTTGCCAGGAGCTTTGGGTCCAAAGGGGTACAAAGGTAATTGACTCTTGTTTTGGGAGAGCCGTTTAGCAGTCATTGGGCCTCAGAAAGATATTTACAAGTGGTTAATATCCTAAGGGATGAAGTGGAAGTCTTTATGACAAATCACAGGAGGTTGAGATGGATTAAAGGAGCCGACAGCCTTTACAATTTAGAGAGAGTGGTGCCAAGCACTGCCAGCAAAATCCTATTTCCTACTTCCTACTCTGCTCAGGCAAATAAGCAGATAAACATCTCGTACCCAGGAAATTAGCTAAGTAAGTTATACTTTAAAGCCATAAGATGTAATGAGACTTAGAAATAAGATCTTGTTCACTGCTTTTTGCAGTATAGGCTGGAAATGACAGAGAAACTTTATTTTATTCTCCTCTGTGCTAAAAATGATGAGAATTTGGGTCTTAGTGTGTGACAGAACCAGCAGCAAAAGCCATGATGACGTGGATATCACTGTGCTTTGTGACTGTTTGGATCCATGGCCAGTTACGATTCGGGGAAATACAGAAATATCCAGCTGAGGGTCATTGTAACCTATGTGAGTGGGAGTACAGATTTGCTTTCTCTGATATATAACTACCTCTTTAAAAAACCACAAGACTTCTGTCCTAAAACTCTCCTAAAACCATCTGTTTAGGAGAGTCTAAACCTTTGAAGTCAAGAAGTGCTGAGGTTCGTGCTGCACATGGTAATTTGGTGATGGGCATTGCATAGAAATTAACCTGGACAAAACCTGAGCTCCACTTGCTTGACACTCACATCACCTGAGCAGAGTAGGCACAAAATCAAATCATACGAGAATGGCTTTGTCCTAATTGAATCAAATACTGTTTATGGAGCTCCTGCAATTGAAAAGGGTCTTTATCCAAATGAAACTCAGTTTGGAGTGTTGACTCTATTTTCCAGGAGAGGCAGGTGATTGTGCTTGTGATGGAGGAGTTACAAGAGCTGGTCTAAAAGGCATCTCAGGTCCACCAGGTCCATCGGGAAGCCCTGGTGTGCCTGGGATTAAGGGCATTGGTGGAGACCCAGGCACTGTGGGTGCACCAGGACTGCGAGGCCCTCCGGTAAGGCAGGAAGAGTTTATGTTGGTTGTCATGAATTAAAGGAGAAAAAGTGCCCATGTGCAATTGCTGGTGTTGATTGTAGTGAAAACAGAACACATTTTTTTGCATAATTTCTTCTTGTTGTTTGGATTTAAAAAAAAAAAAAAAAGCAACCCAGAAACTGATCTGTGAAAAGAAGCTGAAAGTGGAGAAATTATCACCTATAAAAAATGGGACAAGAAATGGTCCTTAAGTTCTGAGAATTGCACGTTCAGCAGTCAAGAGAAAAGCAGTAACAATTATTCATCCCAAGGCTTCTTGGCCGTAGGCATACATGGATTAAACCCAGGGCTCTTCCTAAGTGAGGGCTGGCTTGGGAAGCAGATATACGTCTGCATGGAGAGAAGACCTGAAAAATCGAATGGTGAGATCTTTCCACATCGTTGCTCATAGCAAAAAAAACTGTGTGCCATAGATGCAGTCATCTTCTCAGCTGCTGTATGCTAAATACATTAGTGAGAGTTGAGATGTGTTTTTTATGAAACTGCAACCATAACAAACAGGATTTTGTTTGTGCTGAGCATTGCTCATTGGCAGTATTTACTTTTGAAAATCATAGTCCATAAAGATACCAGTCTTTTGTCTTCAGAGTATCTTTATCAGTGTCAGTAAATGCAGCACACCAAGTAATAGGGAAGAAGATTCAATACTTGGGCCCTGTTACATCATGAGTGATGTAATGTTCCCAGACGCCGTCCAAGATTGCTGTCACTATACTGCTATATACCAGGGTTTGGCTTGCCACTGTAAAACTGTAGTGACTTGATTGAAACATTTGGAAATAATCAAACCTCCTCTTTTTTTTTTTTTTTTTTTTTTTTTAAGCGTAAGGTATACAATAGGAAACCCTTTGGAGATTCTTTCTAGCTCCAGTCGTTGTGTCCTGTCCTCATATGACATTTTTAAGAAGCAAAGCCTTTCCTCTGCATGTTCATATTCCTGTTTTTTTCTTTTGGTCTGTAGGCTTCGGCTGGTCAGCAAGGTCTTCCAGGCCTTAAGGGAGAAAAAGGGGACTCGTCCTATGCAACAGGCAGAGGTGCTCGTGGGGACCGTGGTGCGACAGCACCCAGAGGACCTTCAGGCATCCCGGGAACCCCTGGCAGGGATGGACTTCCAGGCTTGCCAGGCCCACCAGGGCCTCCAGTAAGTTCAGATTAATTTAGCAGCAGCGCTTCAGAATTGGAATAAGGAGCAGAGACAACAGAAAGGCCTGGTTTACTAGTCCTGATTAGCCCTGTGGTAAATCTCCAAATACATAAAAAGCTCACAGTCCCTGAGCACAAATTTGTCTTGGTCAGGATTAATAATTGGCACTGATTATGCCTTTGGCTACCCAGTCAAAAGATAAACTTCCAGTAGTGCGGTAGACCCTAATGTGTTTTTATGTTGTGTCCTAAAAGATAAAAGACACTGTAGGCATAATTATGAGTCAAATCTTGGAATAGAAAAATCACACCAGAATCTTTTTAATTAAAAAGACAGTAAATGTCTTTCAGAATATGTAATATTTATATTTTGGCAAATACAACATAAAATATTATTTTTAAGAGCCACTGAGTTTTCCTGCATGTTGAAATATTGATGGATAATTTACAGTGGTTTCCATGTACCTTCCCAGGCCCATCAGAACCTTGCACAGAACCGACCAAACTCTTATGCATTTGTTGAAATGATTGTGGTGTATATTCTTTCTATGTCTCTTTGATTTTCAGCTGTAATTGTCTTTGCTGTGCACAGGGTGATGGCGGGCTCGGTTTCCCAGGTGAAAAAGGACTGCCAGGATTACCTGGCTCCAAGGGCCATCGTGGAGAAACTGGTTCTCCTGGTGTTGGATATCCAGGTCCTAGTGGAGTTCGTGGGCCACCAGGTGACCCAGGAATGGATGGATTTCCAGGACAAGCAGGTCTTCCAGGCCCTCCAGGTAGGTGTTGCTGGGTCAGCTCTTATTTTGAAAAGGTGCAAAGCTGCTACAAGTCAAATGGCACTCAACTTACTGCTGTGCTTGTAGCCAGGCCAGAAGATTGCATTAGATTAAAGATTGGTCTTTAAATTAATTGAAACTGGTTTGTGGGCTCACCAGACCTCACACAGCAGTCACAGCTTTCTCAAGTTGTCATGCTAAGGAGGACACAGCTAATAAGCAACAAATACTCAAATAGTACTCAAATACTAAGAGTGTTGGATGGAGCTACTCACTGACTATTGGTGGAGAACCATTTTACACCAAAGGTAGTTAGGAAGATTGATAACATGAGGTTTTTAAAAAGCTCAGCCTACTTCATTGTCCAGGTAAAAATAGTAAGTCACTGGTATCTGAGACTTCTGAATCAGTTTTTGGAACTATTACTATTATTGAAATAAGAAGAGCTCCAGATTTTTTTAAAAGAAGAAACTGTAGTACATTTTGTGTATGAACGGGCATTGGTGAATAAGACATTATCGTGACAGTCAGGTAGGGAGTTCAATTATGACTGGTGCAACCAGCTCTGGACTGTTTGCTTCCTGAGGTACTACAGTTTGGCTCAGTTGGTATGTCATTATATGTACCTAAAGCATACCATAATGACAAGTGATAAAGTCGGTAAATACAGGTTTGATAATGTCTCGTGTATGATGTTTTATGTTCATTTTCAGAGTTCAAAGTGAGTTACATGGAAAGTCATATGTCTACATGTTTATAGAAAATGTTTTTGTAACAAATTTACTACAGAGAGCTAGTCCCAATGTCTTGATTCCATGTCAGCCATTTAAATATAATTTAAGATAAACAGTATTTTTTCTTTGCTGCTGCTGATTTTCAGTGTATTTTCCATTCTGTGTATGCTTAGGCTTCTAGGTTTGTAATTCTGTCAGTATCAATAGTGCAGAATCAATATATTTGCAAGCATAATATTGTTGCATAGGTTTCTGGACTGATAAACTGGTGTTCTGAGTTCACAAACCTTGGCGGTAAGATCACTGCAGTATGAGGAGTTGGCAGAGGAATCTTAAACCCAGAGGGAGGTGAGAGCTAGGCCAGAATAGCGCTGGGAAGGTTGCACAGACATGCCAGGTGGCATGTTACCTCACATCAGTGTCATGCTGGGTTGTTGTTATGGGGTGAGGAGACAGCTAGCATTAATGTCCCCCTGGAACAGTCTGCATAAGCTTTTTTTCCAATTCAAGTCACATGCTAAATGCTAAAAGCTTTACTAATTCATAGCTATGAATGCTTACGTCTTTGTTTGGTAAATTGTCTCTTACAAAATCCACTAAATTAAAATTGCATTGTAAGATAAGGAAAAATAAAATGCGCTGTGCATGATGTGAACTCTAGATATTCTGCGGAGCACATCAGAAGCTAGCTTATTATGAATGCTACATCAAAGCTTTGCTAACAATGAATGGTCCTTTGTAGAAGAGTATCTATAGTCAAAATACGTGAGAAAGTGTGAATAAGTTATTAGCCAGTTCAGTTTGCACCTCCATAGAGATGTGTAAGAAAACTTGTGAATGCATCATTCCCTCCATACTAGGAAATAATTTGCATATGTTAAAAGACCCTTTGATGTAGTAAGTTTCATCTAATATTAAAGAAATGTGTGTGGGTGGAAGAAATAATCATTTCTTATACTGCCCAGACTGAAAGGCCTTGTTGTGAAAATGAGGAAAGACATTTAAAAAGAGACTGTGACCTACTGAAGTTACCATGTCAAAGACACCACTGAGGAATTTTGCTCGAGTTCATGCCATGTGCGGTAAAACAGAGTGAAACAGTCTTGCTTTGGAAAAGTCTAACTCAGTATTTTATAAAAAGCTAGACTGATTTTTACCTGGTATTGTGAGATTACTCAAAAATGTTAGAATTGCCCATATTTCACTTTTATGCCTGACATGATGGTTTCATAATTGTTTAATTTTCTTGATACTTGGATATTATTCTGTAAACTGTGATAATGTAGGGTATTAAGTAGCTGGGGAACACTAAGTTTTGCTTATATCATTTTTACAGTAAGCCTTGCTTACATCATTTTGCAAAACACATAAGGAAACAGTCCGATTTGCATTTCAGTTATCCTCACATGAAATAGCCATTGTTCAAGTATTCTACTACTGACTAATAATGTAAAATACAGAATATGCTATTGTACAGAGTTGTTTTTGGAAAACTCACATGAGAGAGTCCTTAAAGCCATGTGATGTGAATGCAACAGTATTAATTAAACTTCCCTTTCCATGCCAGTTACTTCCCCGAATGCTTGCTTTTTGAAAAATGTCATTCTTTATTGCACTACGTCTGAGGAGGAAATGTCTCGGAGATGGACCTCAACTTTTTATTTTATAAAGCATTCAGCATCACGCTCACATAGGATTGCACAAGACCAGAACTGGAATTTTTATTTTGTGTCCCTACCATTTAACTTATACTTTATCAAAAGAATGCCCTGTCAAAGTGTACCCAAGTGCAGGCCAGCAATGTGTGTGTTACATCTTGCAGTCATGGTATTAGGTGCCCATATCCATTCGAAGCATAAATTGGATCATGGTATTTTAGTTTTGAACCTCTGTTCTTAAAGGTAGTGCTGACTATAAAGATTAATTGCTGTCACAGATGAAAACAGAGCATTCTTTGCCTTTGTGTAAGAATGGAATTGTTATTGCAACTCTGTGTAGATATGTTATCATGAGTATAGTCATTTTTAAATTAATTTTGCTATCAGTGAATGCCTTACATCAAGATAAAAGTAATGAATTGAGAATTGACCTTTCGTTCTCTCACATCAAAGTAGAAAATGTTCTGATGTTTCCTTCAGAATTTGCATAGCATCTCAATGTGTGAGTAGATTAGACACCCTGGGGGTTGTGTTCCCTCTCGTTCCCTGCTACATCCCACCTTCCCCATGAGCCTTGCTTGCTTCTTTATACTGGAGCTGATACCTGTTAGCAGCCCCCAACTAGCTGGAATTTGAGATTAGGATTGTTCTTTCTTTTCACAAGTCTGAATAATGAAATCAGTCACACAAGTCAGAATGATGAAATCAGTCACACAAGTCAGAATAATGAAATCATGAAAATTAGGGCTGAGGGTGAAATGAAACGGGATAGAAATGGGAGGTCAAACCAGAATCGCTTTCTGTCATTTGGCACTGTGAGAGAGGGATGCTCAAATCTGCCTACCCTGACTGGGTTTGGGGCTGGACCCTAAACTGAAAGCTTAACTTTCCGTCTGGTTGGAGGTAGGCATTGAAGTCTGAAGATTTTCACACAGTCTTCTGTGAACTGAGTTGGAATCTATTGAGAAGAACCCAAGAAGAATGTCATTGAACCAGTTCTTAACACTGTTTCAACCAAAAAATTCATTGGGATCTTTACAGCCTTTGCACCAGAAAAGACATATTGGCTTATTTTATGAGTTTTTTTGTCCTGGCCTATGTCATTTTGAGACCCGTATTCCCACTGTCAATGTCGGAAGCAAAGAGCCATATTTATTATCCATACAGAAGTCCACTGATTTGATTGAATTTATCCAGGAAATAGTTTGACTCAGGGTCTTTTGTTAATACAATTTGTCATCTGAAAATGTTAATCTTTTTCTGAAAAAAAGTTTTTAACTCATGTTGCTGTGCTGGAAGAAATACTTCCAGTTTGCTTGATTTAGACCACATTACCTCCTCAGGACTGAAAGCAGTTACAATTTGGAGTGCTCGTGAATGGCTGATGAATAAATTTGGTTTGTCAGTCTGGGAATGGAGCTTGAATAGAAGGATCCTGCAAAGAGAGTTGTAAGGAAATGAGAAACAATATATCTGTGATACCTGATTATCTCATCCTTAATGGCCCTTGTAGTTGATGACAGATTTGAATTAGCAAATATTGGGCAACAGTGCAGTTAGGCAGCTGTTTCTCTGTGCATATGAAAGTGTTCAGAGTAATGGAGAAAACCACCTCTCCTCCCCAGATTTGCTTTAGTAGTCATCTTCTGTATGTAATCTCTCTGAGTAAATAGCTTTTAAAGTCCTTTAGATTTTCATTTTTAGGAAGTATATCTATGATAGTTTAAGGCTAAGCCGGCTGTTACAGTGCAGGAGCTAATTCTATAGTTATAGCACAGACTCCTCTTAAAATAACTGGAAGCATTTCTGGAGTTGGAAAGTCTTAAATTAGTTTTGTGATAATCATTTCTGTGACTCTGTGAATGTGACTTCAAATTGTCAGTGTCCTACAAGAAGGAATGTTGGAAGTGTTTGAGATCTTTCAGGTAAATCTGGTGTGCTAGCAACTCTGATAATGCCACATAAATCTCATTCCGCTGAAGAGGGTTTGCTAGTACAAACAGAGCCTTTTTTTGAGAGGTGGAAGTTAGTTAAAGAGCTTTGCAATTGCTGAGTCTTGTTTGCTGCTAATAAATTTTTAAGTCATGTGGTTATTTCTTAGTCTGACAGACTGTAGAAAAAGCAGTTGGAGATTAAGGCTGAAATAAAAAATCCTTGCTATTCCATCCTCCATGCATGCATCTCTCTGGCCTAAACTCTTGGGTGACAGGTTTTTTTAAACACCTGTCATCAGATATGGACTCATTCCCTAGATATGTATTTTATCTTGCATGTCCACATTTATTTTAGAATTTCACACTATAGCGTACTGTTTATATACAGCTTAGAAACATCCTCAATTTTTAAGTTAGGAGCACCTGTCAGCGCCCACTGACTTTGAAAGCTCTCAGCCTGGACCTTAAGCTTTCTGAGTCACAGACTGCCTTTTCAGTGCCTGTTGCATAGCCCCTACCATAGGGAGGACCAGTTGCTGAGTGGAAGCCAGGGATATCATGCTACAAGTAGTCCACAGCAGTAGTTGCTACCTTTTTACTGGTCATGCAGTAAGTCAGTAGTAGGGATGAGATTAGACGATCGCCAGGCTCCAAACGCCTTTTCTTTAACATCACATATTTGAGATGTCAGCAGCGTTTGATGTGCGTAAGTTCACTCACAGCCACTTACGATATGTCCTGTAAAAAACATCTGGATGCTATATATTCCTCTTCTGACCGTCTCTCTGAAAGGGGCTGTGTGCAACCTCAGTGTTTCTTTGTTTTAGGTATCACCTTGCCCTGCATAGTTCCTGGAGCATATGGGCCCGCAGGGACTTCCGGCTTTCCAGGATTGCCAGGTAGGCAGACAAGCTGATTGTAATGCACTGGCTGACTACCAAGAAGCACTTATTCCTCAAGGAATATAATACCTGCTAATTAATCTCCTCTGAGTGATAGTTATTCCAGAGAGTTAACTGGCAGAACAACGTTCTTTTTTTTCAAAGAGGCTAGGCTTAAATCCCATGGAGGATCATAATGACCGCACCATTTTTTCCATTTCAAGTAGCCTCTGAACACAAACCCTCTCCTTCTGTGTTTATGTAGCTGATGAAACAGCCATAGCTTTGAGACTTTATTTAGCTTAAATGGTGTATCCAGCGAGTGTTTTCAGCACTAGCTTTGCAGAAAAGATCTGATCCTGTTTTCTCGTGCTGTGTTTTTGTCTTCCACTATTCATTCATTAATATTATTTATTAATATATTTTTACCCTTAGGTCCCAAAGGCAGCAAAGGCTTTCCTGGCATTCCAGGCCAACCTGGATTACATGGGTCAAAAGGACAGCCAGGGTCTCCAGGAATAATAGGCTTGCAAGGGGAACCTGGTAAGGGGGAAGTTACTGGAGTTCTTTTTATTGTCTGATTAATGTGTACAATATTTTATCAAAAGAGTTGTCTGACCTTCTAGGCCACTTTTCTGCCTGGTACATTCATAGTGCTCCATTGAGAGCTCCATTGTGCTCCTTCCAAATGCAATCTCTGCAAGCAAATGGTTGCAGTTTGGAAGAAAACAAAAGAAATGTTCAAGATACTTGTTACCTGCCTATAATATTATATCGCTGCTGGAAGAAAAGAGGACAACCAACACAATTCGTTTCTCCAGAGACCGTCGTCATGTGCTTTGTTACAGTTTAGGTTAATTACAAGTTTAGTGTAAAACTTGTTTTAAGCCAAGTGGTACTCTGGTAAAGGAACGCTGTACGCGGCGTTTGGACTCATTTTAGCTGTGGGAATTTCTGATGGTTGTGTAAATAAAGAGCAAGAAGCAGAGGTGGTGAGGGAAGATTCCTAAAGCTAAGTTGCTGTGTATCCATCAGATTTCTCTGGATATGGCTGAAGAAATCTCTTATCCTTTCACTACATTAAGGGGGGATGTCATCTTTATGGGGTCACTGATTTCATAACATAACCCCTGAGCAGTGTGACACATCCACACAGCAGTGCAGTGTAGTGTCTGCTTGGTACAGGGACAGTACTTTCCAGTCCTCCTTGTACCAAGGCTGCCAGTGTCTTCTGCCCCGCAGTGCCAGAAGTTGTCTGACATAGAGGACAGAGTAAGAAAGGTGTGATGAATAGAACATCTTTGCAGCTTTTGTTGTTGATAGTGGTAGTGAGATACTGCCTGTCTGTAGCCTGAAATGGCCATCTTCCTCCTTTTTTTTGTCGTTTTTGCCTAATCTGCCATCTAGTGAAACCAAGCTTGTAAAGTTGCAACTATCTGCAGCTCCCAGATACTCCTAAAGTATTCTTTTCTTTTAAAAAAAAAAAAAAAAAAAAGAATAATAGATAAGGATATTCTAACTATTTTAAACAGTTTCATCACTTTCTGTCACCAGTTATTGTTTCTAATTCAGTACTGAAACAGTCTGCAACTTTCCAAACAACTTTTTCTTGCATAGAAATTTTCAAAATGTTGATTTTGTTAGAGATGTTATTGGAAGCAGATATCCTGTACTTCTGCTGAGTGAAATTTACTGTTTTTAAGGCTTCCCTGGGCCTCGAGGAGAGCAAGGGTCACAAGGACTTCCAGGACTGGATGGAACAGATGGTTTGCCTGGGAAAATGGGTGCTTCAGGCTTAGCTGGAATGAAAGGAGCTCCTGGAGATGTATTTGGTGCTGAGAGTGGAGCCCTGGGAGAGCGTGGCCGACCTGGACTCCCAGGTGATAAAGGGCTTACAGGTGATCTTGGATTTCCAGGACCAAAAGGTAAGCACTGATACTGCTTGTATCTGGGAATATCGAACTGTTTCTCTTTCAAAAACCTTTCCTCTTTCCAATCTCTTTAAGATACTGTGTTAGCTGTCCTCTAAGCTGCTCACAGGTGGCGATTTGCTGGTTTTCTCTTAGAATCTAATGCAACTCAAAGGCTTTTATTAAAACTCCCTTTTTAATTAAAAGTCTGAATTTTGTTTTATTTGTTCTGTAACCTCCCACCTCTCTGTTCCCAGGGTTAGATGGAAGACCAGGCCTCCTAGGTATTAAAGGCGAACAGGGTAATCCAGGATATTCGGGTGTCCCTGGATTGCAGGGACCTCCTGGGCCTGGAGGTCCTTTTGGCATTAAGGGAAAACCAGGACCCTTGGGGTCAGCTGGCCTTGCAGGAGCACCAGGTATGTAATGTCTTCAAATGTAGACAAGCAGCTAAGCTGAATGCTGCAATGTTGAGGAAGTGTGGGAGAGATTTGGCATTTGCTAGGAGTGAACTCCTGCCTCTGGTTAGGGGTAACAGAGTGCAGAATTTGAGCTTTTTGCCTCTGACTGCTGGACAACTCCTGCCTAGAAATGGTGCCCTGAGGCTGTAAGAAGTACAGCAGAAAGATAGGAGAAAGCATCTTAAATGTCTTGATATTTTTAACATCTCTGCTTTTACATGCTGGCTGTATCATTGAATAATCTTCATTTCCCATTTTCATGACGATTAATTTCTAATGTATGAAGTTGCTTGAAATGTGACTTTGATAGATTAAAAAATTACTGGCTTTCTCAGAACAAGGACTTAAGTCTCCTCTGTCTTTCTCTTTGCTCGGGCAGAAGAGAAATTTATTTCCCTTCACTTTGAGGGGAAAAAACCCCACCATTTGAGTACAGCAGTATCTCTCAAGCTGCACTGACTAAAGTGTTTCATGATAACAGTATATGCAAGACTTGAGAACCAAGCAAAGAAGGATCTGGGAATTAGTAGATAATGGTCTGTGACATAACTCGTCTGTTCTGACATGCAGAATGACAGTGATGGAGCACAGTGGCAACAAATGAATGAAAGCAGTGACATCATTTGAGATGAAAATCATAGAGTTTTAAAGTGTTTTTTTATTTTGACATTAACATTGCTTTTCCCTCTCTATTGTTTTACATTTTTAGACTGTATGCCATGTGTGACTTTCCTTCAACTGTTTTTAAAAACCTCCCATTGATAGGATGATAAGCTCCAAATGATTAAGTTTTTTGCAGCTGTAGTCTCTCTGAAACATTGATTTCTTTTGTACCCTTGTTCTTTCTGTTTACATATTTTGTCTGTTTTTTCCTTCACCATGTTTCTATTCCATTTATCACCAACTCTCCATTTCTGATGTCACACTGTTTGGTTATGGGTTCTTCACATAGGCTGTCAAGGTGAGAAAATGCAGTGTAGCATAAAAGCTCATGGACTAACAACCTAGCTTTTAATGCTACAAAAATTGCATTGACTATAGGTGATACCCCTTATTATTGCTAATCAAACCAGAAGGCAAAGAACCATTGTAGTGAGAATGCTCAGACAGTAACAAAGCCTGAAGCCTGTAAGGAAATCCCTAATATGTAGATTTTAAGTGTGTGTGTTTTCTTTGATGTCTTAAATAAAGCAACCATTTAATCTTCTGCTTTAAAAAATACCGGGTTGTAGCTTAAAACATTTAAGCCCTGAATATAACAGAGCTCCTATATTGGATGCTACTGCTGCAAATGCCATTTTTCAGATGGCACCTGAGTTTTCCTTCTCTTCCTCTCTTTGGGTCTGAGCATTCTGTCTTCAATGGTTTGAGCCTTTATTTAAAATTGTAAACCATTACAAAGCTTCAGCTAGAAACATGCTGAAACATTTAGAGGCAAAACAGTGCATATGATGTTGGTTTTGTGACAGCACAATCAGAAGCTTGTTCCCTTAGTGAGCAATTTGCTCTTGAGAAGTAACACTTCAACTACCAAGGTGGAAAAGAAACTTTTAAAAACAAGCCTCTCCAATTGATCTCTGGTTCACCCAGAGGGTGGGGTAGGTAGCAGAAGCTGGCATTAATGATCCTCCCCATTCTGGTTTGGCTGCCTTGATGATAAAGGTAAGACTGGTGCGCTACAGTTTAGTCTGGTAAAGGAGACAAAAATGGATACATCATAAGGGGTTTCACTCTTGCCAGTTGTGTAGTGATGTAGGCAGTAACCCTCTTCATAGGTATTTTGTTATTAGATGACTAATGCTTTTGCAATTCTAAGCTTTATGCCTTCTAGTAGGCTGCATGTGCCATAAGGTCCATTTGTCATATTAAAAACAATGCTGTGTTTAAAGAGTTTGGGAAGCTGTCCGCAAATTGTCTAGTGTTTGTGTGACATGGTCTATTGAGTTCTTTCATGTATTGATTTAGGACTTCCTGGAGTCAAAGGCTTGACTGGAGACGTAGGTCCACAAGGCCCTGCTGGTATGAAAGGCTTCCCTGGTCTTGATGGTGCTCCAGGATCTCCTGGGGAAAGAGGATTCTTAGGGCCACCTGGGCCTTTTGGTCAAGATGGACATCCAGGCTTCTCTGGGCCGAAAGGTATGTGTTCCACTAGAGGAATAGTCTGAGATTACTGTGCTCACAAAAAAATAACCTTGTTAATACTGATTTTAGGCCCAACTTGTTGGAAGAGAATGAATTCCCAACGAGTGTTGGAATATATTTGTTTTGCAGCTGAGTTATGAATTACAAATGATGGATTTAATTATCAAATCATGGTCATAAGGAGATCCATCTTAAAGGACTTGGACCCTTATGGACAAAGGATCACGTAAATTAAGATAGAAAGTCAAGAAAATTGAAGAAATGTGGAACAGTGAATTAAATTTATAGAAGGGAGAGAATGAAGCACAAACCAAATGGGAAGTTATATTTACAATCTGTGTGGTCATTAAGCACCAATACGATAGTTGGTTACTTGGTGAATTCTGTGTTATTTTAGCCAGAGAGCAATAGAACTATGTAACTGCATGTTGCTCTCTTGGAAATTGGTTGGGTTTTGCTCTCCAGTGGAAGCAGGACCAGGCTCCCAGGCTCTCAATGCTGAACTGAAAAGTGCTGGTTGAAAGTGTCATGAGTGGAGACCCATGAGAGAAGTGGCTGTGCTGTGCTTGCACCGTGAAATTTTACTGCCCAGATTTGGGTGACTGGCCAGACCCATGCTGCCTCTACCTGCCAGCTAGGTGGGTATGCAGTGTACCAGAAGAGGCTAATTTTCCCTTTCTATTTCTCAACTTTTCTATACAGGCGAGAAAGGGTCTTCTGGCCTGCTTGGTTTCCCTGGCATGCCAGGCCTGCCTGGTGTTGCTGGGGCGAATGGATTTAAAGGAACTCCTGGCACAGCTGGAGGAAAAGGGAGCCCTGGAGTTGTAGGACTCCAAGGCCAAAAAGGTGAGAAACAGCTGAAAGACTTTTGCTGGCTGTGCAGCAGAGGCACTTAGGAGGCCCTTCTGAGATGTCTGTGTATGTAATGTTTTCTTCTAAATACTGGTTCTTTTCTTCCTTGTGGAATACTTTGGCTTGGTTGCATTTACTGATGAATTTGCATCAGGAGACATGGTAGTTCTATTTTTGTCGGCCAGCTTCCAGTGTTATACCCTTTCTCTGTTAGATTATTTTGCAAGACGATTTCCTGACTTCTTATTTTTTCAGGTGACAGAGGTGATGTAGGTCCACCTGGTCTTCCTGTTCTTGGGCCTCCAGAACAGGCACTGCAATTCAAAGGAGACAAAGGAGATCCTGGATTAGCTGGACTTGGAGGATTCCCTGGACCTAGAGGTATTTCACAACATTGTAGTTAGTTGCCAGTATCAGTTGTTCAGTAACTGTGCTTATTCTCAGTGGAGTATGGTCTGTCCTTTTGACAGCGCCTGCAGTATTACTGTTTTCTGTTCTGCCATTCACATTCTAGCAAAATTTGCATATGGCAATTCTGAATTTTGAGAAAACAATTTTCCTTTGAAGCTCTGTTCTGCAGACCTAATGCCATCCCTTCCTCTTCTTTAAGAGGAGCTTTGGGTAACAGGTCAATTGGCCCAAATGAGCTGAATGTCTGTATTATGAAATGAAATTACAGTCTGTTGTATAACACAGGTGATAAAGGAATCCCAGGAAGCCGTGGACAGCCTGGTCTCCCTGGTCCAATTGGGTCAGCAAGCAAAGAGAGAGGTCTTCATGGTGACCCAGGCTTCCCTGGTCCATCTGGACAGCCTGGACTGCCAGGACAGAAGGGTACACATGGTATCATATAATGCCAGGAGAGAGGGTAAATACCTTCTTAAGTATCTTCATCTTCTCTAAGTGCTCTTAGGAAAATCCTGTGTTCTAACTGGTACTCCTGTAGCAAAGCGGCAGAAGTTGGCAGGATTTTTCCTTACAAAACTTCCAGATTGTTTTTGTTTGGTTCATACTGTTGAATGACACTTTGGATAGTATTTCTTCCTACATCTTTGCAGTCTGTTATCCCACATGACACAAACTTGGAACAGCAAGAATAAAAACCAAAGGCTAATTTTGGTTTTGGTTTTTTTTGTTTGGGGTTTTTTTTTTTTCTTTCCCCCAGGGTTCGGATGGTATCACAGGAACACTTGGATTCCCAGGACCTATTGGCCTTCCTGGTCCAAAGGGTAAGAAATCTTTTGTAGTGTACATGGTCTTTCAGTACACACACTCCTAATATTCATGACTAAAATGAATGAATAGTGTTCTAGAAGTGTCTGTTGCTCACCAGTGACTGGCTCTGAAGTACATGTGCCCTTGTAAGGGGCTTCATTCAGATGAGACCAGTCCCAAGCCAAATGCCTAAATGCTTTATGGTCCTTTGAAAGTTTGGCCACAGCACTGTGTGAAGCATGTTGGACAGTGCAAGAGGCACCCTTCTCTCTCATCTCCTTGTGTCAAAAGTATAAAGGGCAGGGTGTTGTGGAATTACCCGTAAGTGTTTGTCTTGTCATGCATTTGCATGAGTGAATTTGCATCCATTGCTGTTTATAAGCATTTTCAAACTCAGGTACATCACTTACTATTGTCTTTGTTTGCTCCATGGATTTGAAGGCAAGGTTTGTTTTCAGAAACAAGGCTATTGAGCAACCCTGAAAACTATTCCCCACGGTCAATTAGGGAATGGCCTCCCCACCTTGTCTGTCTTTGTCATGCATTTGCATGAGTGAATTTGCATCCATTGCTGTTTATAAGCATTTTCAAACTCAGGTACATCACTTACTATTGTCTTTGTTTGCTCCATGGATTTGAAGGCAAGGTTTGTTTTCAGAAACAAGGCTATTGAGCAACCCTGAAAACTATTCCCCACGGTCAATTAGGGAATGGCCTCCCCACCTTGTCTGTCTTTTCCTTTTTTTTCATTCCTGGCATTGTTGGAGCAAAAGGAGAGCGAGGGGACCCGGGGTTCCCAGGTAAAGTAGCTCTTGATTGTTCACTTCAAGAATGCAAATTCTAGAGATTAAACAGGATAGCATTGCCCAATTTGGGTATTTTTGTAGTCTATAAATTTCAATACTTTAGTCCTCTCCTGGAAGTGAGATTTGAGGAGTCTGGAATCCAGGTGGGGCACAAATCTGGATGATAATGAACATGTCTGAGAACAGCCCAATTCTAATGCTGAGTCCCATTTCGCTTCTTAAGGAGGAACTTGTGAACTTGCACTGATATTTGGCATCCAGGGAGTCCAGTCCAAGGCCCAGACCATGTCTGAGCAGACACAAGTGCTGCAGCTTCAACATAATATGTTTCTCATTCTCTTCACGCTTTCCTCCAGTTTGACTTGTGCTCTAGCATGCTGTCTGTTTTTATCCTTTCAGGAGAGAGAGGGAGAGAAGGACTCAAGGGTGAACCAGGCTACCCAGGAAACACTGGGGTGCATGGACTCAAAGGCAGCCCAGGAGATCTTGGCCAAGAAGGACCAGCAGGTACTGGACTAGGCATCTCAGTTCTGCAGTTCATGGTGTGACTATGGAACAACCTCACTTTATTGTTTCCTTAGCCCTGGTTGGCCTATCTCAGCTGAGGCTTAAACAAGAAGGTTGACAAGAAAATGGGGATTTTCTTTGACACTACTGTAAGGTGTCACCTTGTCCTGTCGTGACTGATCCTGTGGGTCAACCATGTGGTGAATCCTGCACAATGGAAACCTAAAGGAACTCCTGTAACAAATAGGGAAGACCTCAGTTAGATACAAGCAGTAGCAACTTCTTTGCAGCTGCTTATGGGCAAGGCTCCTCTAAAATCTTCCATTGCAACACTTCTGTATGTTCCCTCTCTAGAGCCAAACCTACCCAGAAGGATGGCTACAAGTGTCTTTGGGTAGCGGTGTAACTAGCAGGTAGATTCTCAAATTGTTATCAAGATTAAAGATGAGAGAACAGTGAAAGTCATTATTGGAATATTTTATTTGAAAAACAATTTCATTAGTTATTCAGTATGTGAACTGTTCCAGTGTGTCACTTGGTGGATGATGAAGAATGTCATTGCTGTGATTTTAAAAAAAAAAAAGATATCAAATAAATAGCTTGATAAAGTGCTATGCTAGTGGTGGTAGTGAGGAGAGATTTGGGTCTGGTTTTGCTTTAGCTAAATAGTAGTTTATTCGCCCATCTTATGAGTTAAGTGCAGGAACAGAAGCTCTAAGATGGAGCTGTGAGCTGTTCCATCCTGGATGTGTAGTACAGGAACATTTTTCTGCTTGTTTTTAGGAATCCCTGGAAATGCTGGACTGAGAGGAATCCCTGGGCCACCAGGACCTCCAGGGCAGCCAGGATCTGTCGGATTCCCTGGAGCTCGTGGAACAGCAGGACCTAAAGGTATATCTGGAGCCTGTACATGGGGAGAGAAATTGGGTCAGAAAACTAGTGTTTCGGCCAAGTATATCACAGCAGGCAGGCAGCACTCTTATGTGTGGGCCAGCTGTGCGTGGGAAGTCAGCTCATTTCTTGGCAATGTTAGTGCAGGCACCAGCTGCTAGAAATGAGCAGAGGAGTGGTTGGAAAGGGAGAGGCTCTCACTTGATTTGGATTACTGATGGGTGTTCACTGAGGGTAAAATCAGTGAGAGCAGTGGGAAGAGTTTCCATGAAGGGGGCCTATGTGAAGGAAGACTTTACATACTGTGTTCCCCTGTGGATCAGGTTTCTCATACATGTTGTACTCTCCATGAAACATCTTACCCATTTCCACCTGACTAGATTATTTGCTTATTTGCTTATTTATGTGTTCCCAATGTCTCTTCAGGGTTTCATGGATTTCCGGGTTTAAATGGTCTGAATGGCTTGCCAGGCACAAAAGGGTCTCCTGGAACACCAGGTAACGGAAATGTGTAGTAGAAGTGTAATAGCTGGGGAAATGCATACACTGGTCCATCATGACAGCAGTGTTCCCCACAAAATTCCTCTGTTTCACCCAGTCCTGGATTTAATTATAACCTGAAGAAAAACCTCAGGATACTGACTGTGCATGAACAAATTCTTCTTTAACGCTAGTAAGAATAGGATGCAGCCTGTGGAGTGAAGAGGCTTTTCAGGTGATGGTTGTCCTTGAATTCCTGAAGGACTATATCACTGCTGGAAAGTCGATGGAGTGAAATTTATAAAACTCTTCCATTTCTAATGGATGTTTGATTTTAGCAGGGCAGCATCAAATGCTTGCTTGGAGTTGGGCTTAGCGATGGCATGTTTCCTTACTGCTTTCCATATCCCTCCATTAAATGGAGCTCAAGAAAGGCATCAGTAAAATCAGAATCTGATTTCTTTGATTAGATTCTGGATTCTGCTTTTGGGAAGCTTCTGCTGGATTTTTTCACATTTTTAACCGTATGAAATAGAATGTGGTTCTGTTTTGCAAACAGCATTTTACTAACTGTAAAGAGATGAGAAAGACCTTTCCAAAGAGACTTGTTTAGTTACAGTCATCTTGTAAAGCACCACTTAAAATTTGTGACAGACATTTTATGCATGAAAATGGACAAACAGTCCACAAACAATACCTGTGTTTTCTGTGTTTAAAACATTCTCTATTGGAAGGTAATGATTTACAGCATATAGATCCTCCACAATTTTCCTATCTGAGAGAGCTGCTTAGTATTTACTCTTGCCAGAGTGACATGCTGAACATCACCCTGCAGCTCTTCTTGGGAGCCTCCGCCCTGCACCACTTGTGCCTCAGTGTGTCTTCTGTCTGTGGAAACTGATCTCTCCATGTTGGAGCATGAAGCCCACTAGATTATTCAAAGACCAGAAGCTTGAGCCTACATTACATTCTCTTGAGAGACACAACATACAGCCTGGCAGGCAAATCCTGTCGCAGGAGTGCTACGTTCACATCCTTGTGGAAGAGCTTGTGGGAAGACCAGAACAGTCATACGCTTCTCTCTCAGCATCTTGCAAATTGTTTAAATTCACTCTGCACAACCAGAACAGCACATGAGGCACCAAATCTCTTTCTATTGCTCTACTGAAAACAGCAGAGAGAGTAGTAAATGGCTAATGTTTTATTACAACTCAGTTTGTGTAAAAATTTAACTGCTATTACACAATTTGAATAGGCTCTCTTATCTGTGTTAACCCGGTTTAATTAGGTCTGAGTGAAGCTGGACTGAAAGGCCCTGCAGGTCTCCCAGGTCTAAAGGGTGAAGAAGGTTCTCCAGGCTTGGGTAGAGGAGCTCTAGGATTCCCTGGACCAAAAGGCTCATCAGGAGACATGGGTAAATACTGATGTTCTGGAAGCCCAGCAGGATGTGTTGCAGCTCAGGTTAATGGGTTGCATGGTCAGCAGAATTACCAAAGACCACTCCTAAAGCCACAGAGGTGGTTAGTAGTTTGACAGGTAAACGTTAAATCTGTGATGTGGCGTGGCTATATATTTGAGAAACAGTTGGTTACATAGTTCTCACAGTGTCTCTACCTCTCCTGAACAGCAGAATCTAGTAATTTTTTCCCTCATGTAGTGAGATGTCTCTTTGTTCTCCTCAAAATAAACGCTACTCAGCCACTATTTCTGTCCATGTTTGTGAAGATCACTGAAGAGCTTTGGGTACACTCTCTCACTTTGTATTTCTTATTCTAGGTCCCCCTGGTCCTGTGGGACTGCCTGGCTTGCCAGGAACACCTGGAGCTTCTCTTCCTTCTGATATACGTGGGAGACCTGGGGATGCTGGCTATCCAGGAACTGATGGGAGTTCAGGTATGAAGAGAGGCCTCTTAAGGAGAGTGGACTAGCTAAGGGGATTTCTGTTTCTTTACGTGCTTCCTTTGAAGAGCTCTGAGGGGAAATGACTTGGATGAGTACTGTCACTTTAATAACCTGGGTTTTAGATCAGGGATCGAGAATGAGAAGATCTGTTTTCAATTCTTGCTATTGAATCCTGATTTGATTTAGCCTGTAATTAAAGCTCTCTAGGCCACATTCATTTCACCTATTGTGGTACTGAAGACAGACTTGGGCATTAAGGTAGGTACTTAAGTCCAGCGTAGTATGTCTAAATTTGGACACAAGCTGCATTTTGGACTGTGGTTTCCACAGCTGTAATCGTAGGCTCTGTGTAAAGTTTAGACGTATCCTGTGTGAGCTGAGAGGCAGCAAAGCTTCATTGCTATTTAGAGGTACATAAGAAGCACTTGCCGTAGGGTCGACAGCAAGTATAGTTTGAAAGATTTGTCATGATGGCATTGGTACCCATTCAATACCTCACAGCCTTGTCGGAGAGGCTGAGACTCTAGGCTTTTCCCTGGCCAAGGGTCTGAAGCCACTGCTCTCATTCTCCTAGGGGATGTCTGAGTCACGAGGCTACCTACCAGGTGGGGCCAGGGCTATGCTCAAGCCCAGAATTTGAAGCTAAATTACTGTGATTAAAAGGATTTAAAAGTTTATGAGACCTAAGTGCATATAAGCAGGTGGGGTCTGGTTCTTTTCCTTTGGGAGGAGGACACCCCTGGAAATATAGACGCCCAAACAATGACTGTCCTCTAGAAAGACGCACTGGGGATAGCCCCAGCATTTACTTTGCCCAAGGAGCAGATTGTGCTAATTACCCCTGTTGTCTCTAGGTCTTCCAGGTCCTCCAGGACCACGAGGACCCCCTGGCCCAGCTTCTGATCAAGGTGACACAGGCAACCCAGGTTTCCCTGGTGTTCTTGGCTTGCGAGGCATTAAGGGTGACGTGGGACCCACTGGTCCAATTGGACTCCCTGGAGCATCTGGATTCAAAGGTAATCTTGCCTTGAAAGGGTCTGGGTGTGGTTTGGCAGCTGTCACCTTGACAGTATGAATGGCTATCGTGTGGTTAGTGTGACTGCCTTGAAACAAACCCTCATTCAGGTGTAAGCACAGCTGAGTTTGTTGTCTAAGTCTTCCCGTTTGGCCCATGCAGGTGTTACCTACTGACTCCAAAAGCAGCAAAGTGAGGCCAGCTCCACGTGCTCTTCAGTGTGTCCCTAATGATTTTTTTTCTCTTCGCTTTGTTTTTTTTCTGAGTAGATGATGTCCACATGCAATGGTGCTGTGCTTGTTGACTACAGTTACCCACTTGCATATGCTGTCCAGGCAAAGACTGGAGATGCTGTTTCATCCCACCTATCATGTATGCTCAGAGGCATAGTGTGGTGGATTTAGGTGTCCACAAGAGGCTAAGAGGATTGTAGGAGTTCAGAAATCTTGTTCTGGGCTAAGGCAGGGAGCAGGTTGCTCTCTCTTTGGTCTCTGCCAAAGGAGACTAGAGGGCAGCTGCAAACAAGAACCCTAGTAGCAAGGTTTCAAAGAAACCACACAGCTCAAAAGCCGGGAAAGGATGGAAAACCATTGCCAGGTGAAGAACTGTGTGCTGTCTTTTTAGGCTGGCAGAAGCCCATCACTCTGTGCTGTGCATAGAGATGGATTCCAAATAGAAAAGATGGGTACTCCCCAAACATTTTCCCTGGGTTACCCAAGGAAGGGCAAGAATACTTTCAATGAAGTGTAATTATGTAGCAGTGGAAATTCTTGTTTTGAGGCTCTGCAGCCATTCTGGACATCCAAATGGGCACAGAGTTCCTTAAGGGTTGTGGTCCCCTCCATCTCAGAGCTGAACTGCTGTTGCCGTTGCTGCCATCAGTGTGTTTCTCAGTGCCCCAGCTGTGGATCAGAATCAGGACCCTATGCTTAGCCCCTGAGGTCTTTAGCTGTGTATCTTTGCAGGTGTAAGAGGGGAGCCTGGCCTTATGGGGATGCCAGGTAAAGATGGACCTCCGGGGGATCCTGGTTACCCTGGGCTGAAAGGTGAAATGGGCCGTCGAGGTGAGTGCTGGAGGATTTGAAAAGCTGTTACTTTATTGCACATGGTTTGGGCTGGGGAAAATTTCAGAGGTCCCTTAATGGGCTTATCTGGTGGACTCTTAGTTTCTTAGAGATTGAAATAAATTAGAAAGAGCTTGACGTACCACTTTTTACAAAGATACCCAGTGCTGATGTACAAAGGCAGTCTTAATTTAGCGTACTTCTCCTTTGTGTCAGTATTATCACCAAAACTGTGAATTTTTTGTGGGGTACTTATACTGTCATTTGCACTGTGTGCAGGTCTCCCTGGCCGACAAGGGGCTCCAGGTATAACCCCACAGCCAGAAGAAATCACAGCCCCTGCAGGCTTACCTGGTCTGCCAGGAATTGATGGTGTCCCTGGCTTTGATGGAGATCCTGGATTCCAAGGCCCAGCTGGAAAACCAGGTAAAAAGTACACTCAGATCACTGAAATGCTGGCCTTCTGGAAGAACAACACTACTTTCTCAAATGCATTAGGAAGGTTTACAGGTTTTTTTAATAAAGGAAATAATTCGAGCAAAATCGTACAAATACCATGTTTTATTATTGTTAGAATGTATTTGATAAATTCTGTTCATGCACTTTTATAGTGTTTTTTAATTAGGTTTCCAGAATTAGGTGCAGCAGCCTGTGATGTAGCTGATACGATACCAGCTTTGGTACTACCAGGTGGAGTGGTCACGAAAATGATTCACCACTGAGAATTATTTGAATTGTAATAAAACGCTGTAACTGGAGAAGTGCTGGGAACTTCAGTGAGCACCACTGTGGTTCATACTGTTTGGTAAAGCAGCTTTGGTGGGTCCTGCACCAGTTGGCTCTCCTAGGCCCAGCAAGTTCCCATGATTCTTTTCTTAGCACTGTCATTTAGGCGATTTTTAAATGGTAGTATTCTCTTTTATTCGTGAAGACTCCTAGAGCGGGAATATCACTTAGCACCAGTCCTTCCCCCTAGATGTTATCCTGAATCCCATGACAGTGAATAGAGCTGTGTTAGTTCCTGGCTTCCTGTAGCCAGTTCCTAAAGTGAATAAATGTGTAGGGAGTAAAAACTGAGAACGCCTTTATTAATACCGGTCAGGCAATCAGGTAATAGACACTGCAGAGCTGTTCATTGGGAAATTACCCCTATTTATACTATTTTTAATGCTTAATCTTTACAAAAGTTGTGCCAATGTACACCCATCTGTTTCCCAGTCACGTGTTTCTTTATACTAATATTAACCCTCCAAATAACTGATCACATGCTAGGTATCTAGCTCTGTGCAATTGCGTAATGCCTTCTGTCTCTTTATACTATTTTGTTATATTTTAACTTGTACCATCCTGAACACTTATTTTATTGTTGGTTTATCCAATCCGTGCCAGACCTTTCTGATTTGGGGTCAGGACAGTCTTGGATGGATTCTAAAGGTCCATAGGCAGGCACCTCCTCTTACATCCCACTAAATTCTAAGCCTTTATATTTGAGCACCCTTCACTGCCCTGAGACTTTTTGAAGATTTGTCAATCAGATGCTCATCATCAAATATCAGGGGGAGGAGGGGAAATGTGAATTTAGTTCAAGTCAATGGCTCTAATTTTACATAATATTTAGGCTGAACATCAAGGCCAATTTTCTGGTTTCAAAAAAGGGTGAAATCAAGCAAAAGAAGTGACTTCAAGTCTTGCAGAATTTCAGCAAGGTAGCTCAACTTTCTTCAGCTTACAACAGCTGGACCATTATACCAGAGGATTCTTGTTTTCACAGTGGCAGGAATCTTGTGAGACAGAGATGAGAAGAGTTCACAGACTTCAAATTGAAACCTGAGTCTTAGGTCCGATGTGGCTTCAGACTAAAATCAGTAGCTTATCCCAGATCTCAGTGCTGCATTTTCAGCCTTGTCTAATGCTCAGCTGCACCTGTCGATCCTTTAACAGACAATCAGATCATGTAGAATCCCTGTACAGAGTTAGTTGTTTGTAACCACAGCTGTTGAAGAGTGTGCTCTCAGCATGGCTGCTGATAATGTATTCTCTTCTGGAATATGATTGCAGGAGTGAAGGCATTAGTATGAGGAAATAATGATAGTAATTGTATTTAATTTCAGGTACAAAAGGTCTGCCAGGAAGATCTGGTTTGAAAGGACATGATGGTTTACCCGGTTCACCTGGCATAGTTGGGGATCCAGGACCTTCGGGTACCCCAGGACCACAAGGATTTGAAGGTAATTTTATGATTTGGGGAGCACAGATCAGAAAAAAACAATCAGTAGAATTCTGTTTGCCTACAGGTTCTGCAGAGACCCTTCCCAACACCCAATTACCTTAGGAAGACCTTAGGAAGATGTACATGATCTTGTGTCTTGTATCTGCAATGGAGTAAATTTAATCGTCAGTGAGGAAGATTGTCACATGTCATTGTTGTCTATCACTGCTGGTGTTTCCCTAGGTACAATTATGAACATCTTTTGGTTTTAATGTTTTGTGGATGTGGGAGTCATCTTGAAGATCTAAAAGAGCGAAATGGTATTCACAGTGAACGAAGCTGTGAGGGTAGGATAGTAGAGGAAAGGCACGGTGAGAGAAAGAAGGATTGGATTCTGGCACAGATTTCTTGCACAACTTTTGGCCTTTCTGTGTCAAAGGAACATCATCATGAAGAACACTATAGCAAAAATTAATTTATTAGGTTTTGGTTGGTGCTTTGAGATCCTCAGAATTATTGTACTGTGAGATATGGGCTAACACATAGGCACCAGACTTGTTTGGCAAAGAAAGAAAACTAAATGAGGTAGGAAATGGGTGGGTGCGACTGTGAAATGACTGCTTTTGGAAATGATAGGTCTAGTTATTCATATAACAATCATCAAAACTTGGGCTCCTCATTGTACAAGACTGACATAAACACAATGACAGCAATGCCAAAATCGGGTATAGAGCCAGCTGATGTCCACACTGCGTATTAGTAATAGCGACTCCTTTTCTGTCTTCTAGGTGTTGCTGGAAAGCCGGGCTCGCTTGGTTTGCCGGGAATGCCTGGTCGGAGCGTGGGCGTTGGATACACTTTAGTGAAGCACAGTCAGTCAGACCAAATCCCACCTTGTCCCATAGGAATGAATAAGCTCTGGGACGGCTACAGCTTACTGTACGTGGAGGGGCAGGAAAAGTCACACAACCAGGATCTTGGTGAGTTGACAGAATTCTCTCAGGCATAAACAATGTAGGCCAAAATCCCGTTCCCAATGAGCAATCATCGTTGGTACCACAGGCGGTTGTAGTAGAGGTGGTGGAAGTCTGCTTGGCCGAATCTGTACTGGGAGCAGTGTCACTTGTGCCATCCTCTGCCAGTCATGTCTGGTGTGTATGAGTTGGAGCGTTTGGCAGATGCTTGGTATGACTGCTTCTCCAATTTTTCCAGGTTTTGCTGGCTCATGTTTGCCTCGCTTCAGCACCATGCCTTTTATTTACTGCAACATCAACGAAGTGTGCTACTACGCCAGCCGAAATGACAAGTCCTACTGGCTCTCCACCACTGCTCCTATCCCCATGATGCCAGTGGACAGTGTTCAGATCCCACAGTACATCAGTCGTTGCTCAGTATGTGAAGCACCTTCCCAGGCTGTGGCTGTGCACAGCCAGGACATCACCATCCCACAGTGTCCCCTTGGTTGGCGCAGCCTATGGATAGGATACTCCTTCCTTATGGTAAGGATACTGTTGCTAATGCAAAGGCAGCTTTAAACATTTCTAGATCTCCTCCTTGATTAGGTGACTGAGACTGTATTCTATAAGTTGCTTACAGGAAATGAGAGCCCTGTAGCTTCTTGCCCTAGTGCATTTATTCTTTATCAGCTGGCCTGCTGTGGGCTTTCTGAGTTTGTTCCCGTTTAGCTGGCCTTCTCACCTGCACTGCTCAAGTTCAGTAGTAACACCGATGCAGTAGTTCTGTATTGCCACAGATACTCTTTGTTCTTCGAACCTTTAAATGTGGAAACACTAATTAAGCTACAGCATTGTCTTAATCCCCTCTCTCGGTGGAAAAAATAGAACATTTTCCATTGCACTCTCCTAGAAGCTCATTAGTGTAAGACTGTTAGAAAAATATGAAGTCAGCATTATTGTTTCCAAATTCTTCCAGCTTGCAAGGGAAAAGCTGGTTTTCCATTATACCGGGCCTGTATATTCAGCCTAAGTGTGTTCCTTTGCTTCTTCACCTCTAGCCCTGACTCAGAAGACAGATAGACATAGCCAAGGTGTAATTTTCGTTGCCTGTTTTACTCCTTTTAACAATGCAACTGGATGACTCCCGTTTACCTCCCATTCTGTTCCTTTGAACTCATTTAAACTGACATCTTTATTTCAGCATACTGCGGCTGGCGCAGAAGGTGGAGGTCAGTCCCTTGTCTCACCTGGTTCTTGCCTGGAGGATTTCCGTGCCACTCCATTCATTGAATGCAACGGTGCTAGGGGAACATGCCATTACTTTGCAAACAAATACAGCTTCTGGCTGACGACCGTTGAACAGTCGCAGCAGTTTGTCAGCGCTCCTCCCTCAGAAACCCTGAAAGCAGGACAGCTTCGAACAAGGGTCAGCCGTTGCCAAGTGTGCATGAAGAACTTGTAGTAACAAAAATGCAGTAGCATTAACAGCCTTCGTTACCTAAGACTAGACATCACTGATGTGAAGGATAAATTCATAAACCTGTTTTGTGTGTGGTTGATGGGTGAATCAAGACAGCCAGAATTCTACAAAAATCAAGTGTCAGGTCTAGGAATTTGATTGCACACAGAGGAGGAAAAGACCAGTGCTCTGAAACATCTTTTTTTTTACGGAACATGGTGCTATGCTTTTACTTCAGTGGGGTTTTTTTCCCTCATTTATGGCTACCTCAGAAAGTCTCTGCGAGTTCCTTATTCAGACCGAAGAGTAACTGATGTCTCACATTACAGCAGTCCTCTGTCTGAGGCACATGCCAATCATCAACAAGAGAGACTTTTCGAAAGTTATGCTTTATTAGTGCCTTTGCAAACAGTATTTGGTCCAGTGTAAGGGAATGAAGACTCATTCTCCTATGAAATACAGAGCTAGCTAAAATTTATCAGTGTGTTGTAGGTGACTTAGCAATACTAAGCATTACTGGTTGATAACTGACTTCCTTAGGAAGACTCAAAGATTAATTTGTTTTGCTTTGCTTATTAAACAGATGGGATGTTCTTTCCTCCAGTGACAGGTAATCAATTCTAATCCAGACTCTCATCCATGGTTGACTTTAAAGAGCTACCCCAGTGAAAAGTGCAATTTTTGATGTGAAGAGGAATCCAAAACACCTCTAGCATTTTTCATAGCTTTCTATTGCAATATATTGCAGGCAAAATATCTACTTCAAGGTCTGTGCTTATCGTCTTGCAGTCAAATGATGTGCAGCCACCAGAAACATTTCATTGCTATGAGCGTAGATTTCCTTTCTGAGGTAGCCTTGGCACACGTGTTTTGTCACTATTCAAGCTGTGCGTATTTGAAAAGTGGAGGCTTTATTCCATAGCATGAAAGCTTATGCAAACACAGAAGTAAGCAGTTATGGGATGTACATTTTTTACTTCTACAGTCACGATGCATTGTATACTTTTTCTTCTGGGCTTTATTTCTGTTAGTTTAAAAAATTGTATTTCTAGCATATGCACTGTTAACTACTCACACTTTCCTTCAGGGCATAATTAAAGAGAAGTGCCACTAATTGTATTATCCTTGTGTATTTTGAGGGAAAGCCATGAAACAGGTATGCTAATATATATATAATGAATCCATTTAGTTGGGCTAAAGTTATTATTATCAACTTCTCTAGAGTAGAGTGTAGGAAATCCTTATAGATTGACGTTCCAGGACATTTGAAAGAAGTGGCTTGCAAATACACTACCACCTTGGCTTAAAAGACAAAATTGGTCAGAAAATTATTAATGCAAGACTGAGGCATTAGTCTAGGCATTACTAGGTTCTAGGGCTCTAGCTCTATTCAGCAAAGTACTTAAGAACATGCGTACTTTTAAGCAGATAATATTTTTACCTTTAATGATTATTTACATGCATAATCCAGTATTATCTTCCTAGATTGGGGTCAGAGAGCTCTGCATGTTCTAGAGTTGAACCACACTGGAGATGAGCAGGGAATTTGCGAAGAACAATTTAGTCTTTCATTTAACTTATTCCTAATTGTGAAAGACCTGCAACTGCTTTGCATGTTTTGCAAATACCTTTAAGGAATTTTAATGCTCCTCAGTGGCAATCCTTTTATGCAGATTATTCAGTCTACTTCTTAGCTGTCCCAGCACAGACAGATCATATTGTATTTACATCTTGGGTTTTGCAAATGCAACTTTAAAACACTATATGCACACAGTGAAGCTCACCACTTTTTGAAAATTTGTGCAAATAACTGGCAAACTACAATTAATTTTTCAGCCACTGGGCTCCCATGGTGCTATAAAAAGGGGTGTCAATCAGGTATTGTGTCTATAGGGACTTGGTTTTATTTTTGAACATGGACACGTGCAAATACAATTAATTTTTTTTTCTGGGATCAGAGCCTTATGCATTTTAAGCACTACTATCTTTAGGGAACTGCTTCTATTGCAGTAACCTGGTTCTACTCCTATCAGTGTCCAACCTTCCATCAAGTTCAACAAGCCCAGCCTCTTCCCACACCATTTACAGACAAGCCGTTCTCTGTCAGCTGCACGGGGTGGGAATTCCAATCACCAGCCGTTTTCCATCAGCTCATTCTCATAAATCTTCTTCAAGAGGGCTGCAGGGCCAAGACCTCCTCTCTGAAGAGTGTTTACATAACAGCTAAGAGCTATGTGGGGAATAAGTATACTGTACTCCGCTGATTGATTTTTTTTTTTTTTATTATTATTATTTTTAAACTTAGGTGCTTCCTTTTTATTTTTTTTTTAGCAGTTACTGCTCAAGACTGAGCATTTCAGAGCAAGGGCTTCATTCTCATTTTTGTCTGTGGGGAGGACTACAATCACTGTTACATGAACAGTAAGTTCACGTATTAATTAAGAAGTAATGCTTTGTTTTAAAAAAACCATTCAGCTAATCCATGGAGAGGAGAAGAAAATGGTATTTTTTCTAAGTGTGTAGTTTCCAAACTGTAGTTAATAAACACTGAAGGCAAACAAGATGAAATATGATCTGGTTAACTATTTTCTTGGAAATCACACTGGCCCTGATGAAGAAGTGCAAGTGAGAGGAGACAGCATTCGGTATTTCTCTGTGGTGTCATTTATTGGTGAAGATGAAACTGCGATTCATGTCCATTACACTATCATGACAAAATGACCACAGTGGGGGCTGTCTGATAGTAAAAAGGAACTTTACAATGGATTAAAAGATCTTTGCCTTTAATTCTGAGCTGGTTTTCTTATGGCTGCTAGAGATATACTCTGCCTTAGAAATAAAACCGCACAGGCTGTTCTGATAAACCTGTAGAATTAAGGCACTTTTACCAAAACAGATTTCAAAAGGCAACAAGTCAAAACCCAACAATTAAGTGATTTGCATATGCCTATATATTAAGTTTTAAGATAACCTAGTTTATATTTAGTTTGCACAAACAAATTAACGAAATATAGCAGCATACAGCCTATGAAAAGCTTAAGAAATTTATTAGATGCACAGATAAAGTGCTGTAACAGAGAAACTTGTGTAAATCTTTTTTAAAATAAATAAGGTACAGTTAAACCACCTTTGACTCCTTTTAGCTCCGAAAGAAAAGTCAGCCTAAGTTTTAATGATCTGAATTTTAAGGTCAAGGTGAAATATATCATAACTATAACAGTGGTTGTGATCTATATCAACTATTTGAGTCCCCTGTTCCTCTTGAGGTTTCCCAGAAACAGGAAGGCTATTGCAAAACGTATACATTAGACATAGTTCCTTTTACAGAAACATTTTTGTAATAAAGTGTGGTTGCTCAAATACATGTTAAAATATTTAACAAGGAAACAATTTTCTTCTGATCCAGTCGATCTTTTAAACATGACAATGTATTTTTTCTACGATGCAGCCCACAGGAGGGAACAGAAGTAAACATCCTCCTTAACTGAAAACTGTTTTGCTTTAAGAACTAAACTATTGCATTATACGAGAGCAAGAAATATCCATTTGGTGTTACCCCTTTCTCCAAACACACAGCCCAGCGATATACTTATTTTTGCCTTAATCTCAAAGGTCCATTTGTCTTCAGGAAAGACACATAAAAAGAGGTTCCCTCTAAGGCTCTTATTGTAAGATCTTTTACTGCCTTTCCATCTGTGAAAGCTCTTTGACAGCAGGAACTGTCACTGTTGGAGTTTTGGATGCTACTCGGTTTTTGTGCTCTGGTATCGGTAATTTCAGGCACTTTGGGGCTAACATGGCTGTTTGATTTAAGTCAATGCAATAATATTAGCAATATGTTCAATACTCAGAAGGGTCACCACAGTTTCCTTCATACACTCAGGATTTCAAATTCTTCTTCCAATTCAAATAGCTTGTCAGTAGATTCAATGAGTTCTGGAAAAAAAAAAAAAAAAAAAAAAAAACAAAAACCAAATTAGAATCTAAAGACATGCCTGATTTTGTTTACTTAAAAACACAAACAAAAAACCCCCTCTTTTCTGGAAAGTGTCTTTCAAAGTATTTTATAAGATTAAAAAAAAATTATATCTGTGCTAGCGATTGTTATGTGGCCTGTTTGGATAACTGTCTGATGTTCTGTAAGAATAAGGCATTTAATCATGTGGTGATTGCCTGACACTTCGGAAAGCATCATTATTCCACCTGTGATTATTCTTCTGCTCGCTAATGAGGAAGGCTCTGTGGCACAACAGCACTTTCAGTGGGTACTGCACCTGCTCCTGTGGTTGTCACTTCTGGCTTTGTTGGAGGTATGAAAGGAGGCCAGTGTGGCGGATGCTTCTGGACCAGCTCAAACATCCGTAGACTCTGTTGCTTTAGAATCTCCTGAGGACAGAATACTTTTGTTTTAAAAGATGCCTCAAGAGAACTTTCAAACATGAAAAATGTCTGCTTAATTAATAACATTTTTAATTATGTATGTCTATCAAAAAACAAAGGCTTTATGCAGACATACAGTGAAAACCTGTTATTTCAAGCACCTGCCATTATGAATCACTGCTTCACAGATCTCTCTAATATTTTCCTAGTTGAAAACACACCTGGAAGACAGATCTCTTGAACTGTCCTACAAGTTATCCGTGTGTTATAATTAGCTTTGAAATCCATACACCTATAATTTTGTTTACATGTAGCAAACAGACACCAAGAGTGTAGAGTATTTTCTGCTTTTTAAAAGAAAATTACTTGCATGGACCTCTCTGTGTTCAAGTTTTCTGTTGATCAATGGGAACAAAAGACAGATCTATCAGCTCCAAAAAAACCAACAGATTTTGAAGGGTAGGTTTTGATCAGGAGAAACAAGTTATTACTGAAGCCAAATTCCACTCCTCTTCAATCAGGTAAGCTACATGATATCCTGTATTTCAGTTATTTACAAACTGCTCTCCTTAGCCTTCTTTTTTTTTTTTTTTAAAATAAATGCCTTTAAAGGTTGATGTTACTTCACATTCATACTTCTATTGCTTGGTATACCAAGCATGGTATACCATGCTTGAAACGTCCCAAAGTCCTTTTCCTGTGGCAGCAAGCACCTTTGTGTGTCCTGTTTTTTTTCTGGAAGGACTCAGCACTTACAGAATCAGATGTGTTGTGGTACCAGGGACTAACAGTCGTAATTAGAACACGTAGTAATATATCGTGTCAAACAATAAAAAAGGATCAAGAAGCAAATAAATAAATAAATTGCTACAACATGGCAGTTAAAACTTACTTTTAACATTTATTTCTCAGTACATGACTAAGCTTCAGCCAGTAACATAGCAGTGCTAAAAAATGAAAAACTTTTAAAGGGTATATATTTACACTCATTTTCCAAGTGGCAGGGTTCATGGTTGTCAAAATGCTGAACAAGCTTCGATTAGCAATTCAGTATATTGGCTTACCCTGATGCATTAATGCATTCTTCTCTGTGGCTCACTTAATTTGCATGCAGAGAAAGGTGTAATGGGAATTTCCATTTTAAAAAAAAAAAAGCATACATTATTTCATACAGAGCAAATAAAGATAGTATTATTACCTTTTGTACAAGACTACACCAGTTATCAAAATCACATTCTTCTTTGCAAAAGAAGCCCTAAGGAAAAAATACATAGTAGTAGTATTAAATAATAACAATATGTCAATGAGTGAAGGATGGAGTGGTATCTTTATGCGTTGTTTAAAGCTTTAGAAACGTGTGTCTCAAGTGACAATCGCCCATAAACCAACGAAAGGATACTGGCATGGGATCACTACTACAGTATTCTTGTGACGTACACTGGATGACTTCTACAAGCCATTCCATTTAAAGATTTGTACATTATGATATAAAATAAGTTAAGCTTAAGTAACTTGTCCAGAGCGACCATACATATATGGTAGTGATGGAATAAAATAAGGAAACCTGATTCAGTTCCTAGGTTTGACCTTCAAAATACTTCTTGCAAAAGGTAAATGCTGCTCAGTAAAGAAAATTAATTAGCTCCCTAGGATACAAACAGCCAGTTCCCGGCTTGACCTAAGATTAATGTATCCTATGCAGTTAATACATAAATTACCATGTGTTGAACTTTAAGACTGCAGAAGACTGCCCTGTGATCTTGATTCTGCTCAAGGACATGCATTACTGCCCTGATCAATATAGAGAGGTATTATTTTGAAGTATACACATCTATTATTTCCTAACACCTACTAAAGCTACTGAAGGGTCCAAATTCATTATCTTCATTCTGTGTGGCGCTTGCTGGCAGTGGAAGCTCTGGTCATCGACTGTGCCATTTTCTTCTGAATCTACAAAACTTTGAGTGGTGTGAGGATCCAGATAGATCAGCTCATTGCCTGTATGGGTAAAATCCATATGTTCGTAATAAGCAAGAGATTTCAATAAGCACTTATTCCATCCAGACTTGTAAAATAGAAATTAGATTATCATCACAGTCAATATCTAGGTTTTCTAGCTAGGGAGTCTCTAAGACAATCGGGAAGTCAGACACAGTATTTCCCACAGGGCGTTCAGTATAATGCTCTATTGTGACCTATTACTATCGATTTTTTGGTTGGTTTGTTCTACCTTTGTCGCATACTTTCCTTTTTCTATGTGAGGTCCAGTACATTTTTTAAAAATGTCAACTGTTCTAATCCCTAACGTTCCACGGATCAAAAAGTACAGGATGACCACAAATCCCATTAGGCATTCATTCAGAAATTGGAACAAAGAAGTCTCACTAGAACAGTTCAGGTGTTACAAACGGCAGAACAAAATATCCATAAAATTATGCATCAAACTGAGGTGAAATCTGAAAGACTGAATCTAATATTAACTATTGCTTTTATTAATAAAGGAAGACATGGAAGAAGGTGAAAAAGATACTGCTATCAGAAAAAGTCTGAAATATGAGAAAATAATTTAAGAAAACTGTGAAAAAAAGAATAAAATGACACCCTTCATTAGGAAGTATTAATGACTAGGAAAAAATCAGTATTTTAGCAGTAGTGACATTTGACACTTGTCGAATGCTATCAACTATTCTTAGTGTGTTGTTCTTGCTTATATCATTACTTATTTTTACATCAAGCTTTGCTGCTACTTTTCCATGCCTGTAAGGATGATACCACACTGTTCCTGAAGTATTTGAGGTATGTTTCTTATCTACTCCATTCTCATGCTTAAACTGCTTACTATTTCCCCTTCCAAAACAAAAATAACCACCAATGCTTTCTCTTTAGATCATGTGCATATTTGGAATAAGTTTCTTTTTTCCTTACCTAAAAATCCTATGAAATAATAGGCATTATTTGGTTTCCCTCCTAATGCTCCCAAAGACTGTGGCATCTTAAAGCATTCCTAGGAGTTCAAAGGGAGAAAAATGAAATTGTAGTTGATTTGTTTATTGATATAACAAATACCTGAACTTATTTCACAATAACAAACAACTCACTGAAAAAAACCTTACTTTGAACGCATCAATGTATACTGGATTTATGTGATTTATCCCTAGCCGTAGAGGTATAATAAGCAAGAGGGGCTTCCAGCCTGTGCAGAATCCTGCTGTGTTCTTATTTCGGCCAAGAGCACTTCTGTGCAAATGCGCGCTGCTGTGGGCCGCGCTGCTGCTCTGGGGAGGGGACCAGCACATTTTCTCTGTGGGAATAAAAATAGAAATCAATGAATGCACAAAGGAACACAGAGCAGATCTTCCTCTCAGTCATGAATTAAGCTACTTTGCCAGACATCTTTATAGAGCTCCTGCTTTAAGACAAAAGGAGCAGGGCATGGAAATCTATTTACTAGAAGTAATTCTAGCAGACAGAGTGTGTGCTGGCACATCAGTGAGACACGAGATAAACGACTGGGGGATGAAAATTTAAGGCTGAAGTTACATTTACTACTAGCGTTATTAACACTGTCAAGCTTTGCCCATAAAATGTCAGGGAAATGAAATGGCAGAGATGATAGCATTAGAAACTCTTCAGGGAACGCTTCACTTCCAATGATGCAAACATAAAATAAGCCGAAGTAGGGACTAAAGTAGAAATAGGCTGTGGCTAAATACCACTTGTAACCCCACCTTTCTGACAACTGAAAATTAAGCCCGGCCATGTGTTTCTCTAGGATCTGCCCCTGGTTTCTCTTTTGCCTGACAAAAGCACATCTCTCTGGCAAATTCTGCATTAAAAACAATTCTCTCTATTTCTACATGCTGCAACTTCATTCCATTTCTGGGGTAGGAGTTTAGATAGTACAGACCACACTCCATCTTCTCCCAAACTGCATGGTACGTAAGCCTACATCGTTCTGTGCTAGCTTTAGTTTTGGACACCCAAACCCGAAGCTTGCATTTCCTTTATTGCTTTTCTTACCCTGAGAACAAGTAGGGATGGCCCAAAAGTATTTTGTTCATATTTAGATACATTCAGGAAAGTGGAGTCAAATCACAAACTGTAACCAGAGAATTAATGTTTCACTTACTGATGTCTTCAATGACCACTGTATTGTCCATAGATACATAAACTGCTAATGAATTCCATTCATCAAATAAAGCAAGCTTCCTAGAAAACATTAAGGTAATAATTAATATAAACTAATTAGGACCACAAGGGTAGCTTTTCATTCAGGACAATTAGATGGTTCTTGAGCAAAAAAATTAAATTGTTTCTTTGGAAAAACACATTGTTGGATTTTTTTTTTAAGTCTGCATGTAATAAAAAGATAACTTGGAATATTTAATGTTTAATGTATTTAGAAAAATAAATACTGAGTGGTACCAGGAAAAGCACACACACTGTACCATGTGAAAACTGTTTTGTCCTTTTGCCAAGCGCAGTGATAGTAACAGCTCAACCGCATAATTAGGTTTATTACTTTTTATTGCATTTAACAGCCTCTGCAATGGGATCCTGCCCATTGTGCCTGGCATTGTCTAGAGAAGCAAAAAATTCCTGTGCCAGTTTTGCACATTAGTTTTTGCTTAAGAAGTTCCACTAAATTCAGCGGAACTATTTCTGTGCACGTGTGGACAGCAGACTCGGGGTGTTAAAAGCTAGATCAGCTAAAGGTTTTCGGCACCCAAAGGTTAGTAGGGAGGCATTATAGCACACAGGTTTCTGTCCACTTGTGTGAAATCCAAAACTCTGGGGAAGGGAGCTACACTCTTAAGCTGCACAGGCAGAGTCAGCTGTCTAAAATAAGCCAGAAAAACCTGTATGTGAGCACGAAGCCATGAAGAATTTGTAAGTGAAAAGAGCTGGGGACCAGGGCATGCTTTAGCTCCTCTCTCTCTCCAGAATGTGTGTCTGTCCCAGGGCTGCAAAGAATTGCTGCTGAGCACTCAGGACCTGCAGTCTAGCCTCCACTTGAGATTTGGCACCTCCACCTATCCCTCAGAAACGGAGCAAAGCCAACTCTTTCAAGTGTGGCTTCTAGACCTGGAGGAGCTGCCCGTGTTTTACACAGCAGCCTTCAGGCACAACTGCAGCGCAATGAGGAATCGCAGTTCAGTTCCTTCCTTGGCCCGGATGGCTTCACTCTGATGTTTCATACCACCACTCTAATCTGCATGGTGGCACTCTTGACCTGTCAAAGCTGTGCCACTTTGCTAAAAGGAATACCTATCACTGGTGCTTACTGGTTAGGGCATGTAGACGGCACAGCAGGAGAGACCTTTTTGCAGGTCTTCCCCAGGCTCTTGGTATATTAAAATTTAGAACTTGCCCAATCCCAACTCAGTACCTGCCCACCGGGCTACAGCATCGTGGTCCACACTGTACTTGCAAACACACGGCGTATATATTCCTGATTCTGAGAGGGAGATCAGTCTTTAAAACTGTGTCTTGGGCCTTATCTTGGTCTCTGAGCTTAGCTGCCCCAGGGGAGTACATTCCAAATGAGCCAATGCGATAAGCTAATGACTTACTTCAGTACTTGAGCAACTGTATTTGGTCCAAACCATTCTCCAATTGATTTCCCCTCTCCAACACCCATCTGCGCTGTTTTTATGAGGGAAAACACACACACACACAGAGTCTGGTCACAATATATGTTAAATAGCATGACCTACTAACATTTTGACACACATTCTAGAGCAATTGCAAACTGTATTTAGCAACAACAATTATTTTCTCAATCTATGCTCCCTTCAAATCTTAATGACTGCTAGTTCCTTTACAAAAAGTTTCTAAACTGTAATGAGAATTACAAATATCAGTGTCCTTTATTACAAATTACAGCAATAAGCTTCGTGACTGTCTATTTTAATAGTATCAACTCTGGTACCCGAAGGCTTACATACCTTATCAAGAGCTAGATTCTAGTATACAGATTTATTTAAGTCTCAGTGAATAACATTTCTGAATTATTATACTTTGTACCCTTTTACAAGCATTTTTGTTTATATATTAACATATACATTGTCTTCATAATCACCTTTTTAAAATTTTGCATGAACATATTTCAAACTAGAAAGTTTCAACACAGTAGGAATTTCAGTGGGGGAAAAAAAAAGTTGATGCGTGTTCTTACCCATTTGGTGGATGGAATAACAGCAATCTTTTCTGTCTAGAAAGCACCGTAAGATTCTATGATATTCTTCTGGTTGTTTTTTGTGTTTTTCCCATTGCCAATCTTACAGGAAAAAAGTTATACAGATTAAAAAATAATAACGCTTCCATTGTCCTGATCAATTTTCTAGATAGTAGCAAGCCATACAATGAGATGTTAAAAGACTAATACACAATTCGTCTCTAATTTTTACATTTTGTTTAGAGTTCCTAGAAGTCACAGCTTGTCATTTATTATCAAACTGTCCTTTATCATCACAGGCATTGTGAAAATGGGAAAATAAAATAAAAATGTCAACTGCAAATATATTCTGAGTCATCACTGCTGAGAATTGATAGCTATTGCTGTACGTGAGCTTCCAAGATTGTTTAAAGCTATACACTGTTTAGATTTTGTTAAGATTTGTAAGCATATGTCAGATAATGATATAAGATCCATAAAGCAAAGTCCAGACACAGCGCTGGCCCTCTCCCACAGCAAAATCCAAACCACAGCTTTGCCATGTATGCTCTTGCTTCTAACATAAGGCAGTTACCTCCCATTTAGTGACAGAGAAGCGCATATACAGGGCTGACACTATGAAGTAGCTACATATTACGAGTTCATATTCTAGTTTGTCTCAGGTAATTTGTTTGTTTGCCTACTCCTTCAGTTAAATCTTTCCACCTCCGTTCTGTGGATTCAGTTATTCAAGTGGACAAATCCTTCTGTGGATTCAGTTATTAAAGTAGATAAATCCACAAAGCACGCTGCCGTAGAAACCACAGCACAATAGTATAAGGATTACAGACCTAACCGTAATGACGTAATTGATACAGCAGCTACACACAGACCAGACCTATGATACTTACCTGTGATCCTGGGATGTGAGGTGTCGAAACAGGCTTAAGGGCTTGCACTAACGGGTTCTGCTGTGGGCTTTGGACCTCAGGCTGGTGACAGGTGAGTGGCCTGTGAAGGACTTTGTATGATGTCTACCACTATGCCACTGTTCACACAGTCACTGTGTGTGAACGTTTGGTGGCTATGTAAGCAATGAAGAGAAGGGTAAGAACTTAGACCCATGGCGGCAGGTTTTCCCTTGGCCTCAAAAAGATTTATAAATAATGGCAATGGGATTCCCTATTTGTCCTCCCTCTACTTCTATTTCTCTGCTTAAGGCTGGCATGATTTCACCCTGTCAGACAAGAATAATTCACTACTAACTTCTATCAGGGCATCAAAGAAAGTTTCATTAATAAATTTAGGTTTTGTGCTTTTATGGAAAACAACAACAAAAATTAAACGGTCTCCAAACAACACAAAAGTTCACTCACCTCTTCCTAAATGTCTGCAGATCAGTGCTTGTGCCAGCATCATCTGCCCACATCGCAGCATACACCCCCAGCCAGCATCAGACGAAGGACCAGTGCCTCCTATTAAAAAAGTTCATTACAATCAATAATTGGGGGCTTTAAATTGAGTTCAGCGCCACAGAGAAAATTTTGGAGTTAAAATCTCTAAGAACTGTCCTATGGATAAAAGTCACTGAGCAAGACCTTTTCTTTCCATATTGCTGGTCTGACTTTACTGCTTGCTCTACAAACATAAAGACCTGATCATATGCAGACACAAGTAAACACAGTTTTTAATAGCTTTAATATTTTCTTTGCATAAACAGTTAAAATGATGCTCAGAATGTTCTAATACTGTAAAAATAATTTTTCAGTCCGTGATAACATCACCAATCCTGCTATCTAATTTATAACAAGGCAGCTGGTCCACTGCATACTCACCAATAGGCGAAAACTTTCTTCTATACGTAAACCAGAGACGAGCACTTATATCCAACAATAACTTAGATTTGTCTGGAATATTTTTAAGAGGAAAGAAATTATTAAAACAAACTTCTAAGACTGAAAAATTCTAATTTTCCCTGTACAGTCAATATGTAGAGTGCATGGAAGACTCCTGTTAGCTTTTACATATAAGACCCTTACTACTTAAAAAACTTTTTAGCCGTTTAAACATGGAGAGCTTTGTAGACTGCTAATTAAAGTTAACTTATTAAGGGTGAAATAATTATTAGCCAATCAATGCCCAGCTTGAATGAAACAACTATGAAGAACTATGTCCTCAGGAAAGAACTGGTAAAGTAAGTTAAGAAAGGTGAAGAATTTCTACATGCAAACCAACATGGAATTATGCATTACCTCCAAACCCAATACAAAGTCATTTTAAGAGAATGTTAATAATATTAAATTTAATTACATCTCTTTTTTTTTTTAAATACATGCACTTACAGAATTCTCCCACAGGCTCTGAAGAATTGTTAAGAACTGTATTTGCTGCACTTTCTCTGAGCCATGGCTCAGACTGACTGGCCTTTTCAAGGGATCCTTCAGCCGATCAAGGCTGTATGCGGTACCCTCGGCTGTCCTGAACACCATGCCTGCACTGATGGCCACTGCCTTTGACATGTAACACAGGAGGATGCCCTTGTCTGCTCCCCAGGGAGCAAAGCTCATTTCTGAAATCTTATTTTTGTATGATATATAAATACATCACTCTGCTATGACTTTTATTTATTTTCATCAAAATACAGTACATGCCCTAGATTAATTTTATTATTATTGCTATTATTCTTTTGAAATATCATTTTAGTTGCAAATAACAGGCTGCAGCCAGCATCCCTCAAGGGAAAATAACATCAGTAATACTGAACATTCCCCAAAAGTATTTATCTATTTCTGAGGCATTTGATGTTGAGAAGTGACCAGCCTCATACCTGACTAGCCTCTGCTACAAGTACGATCTCTTTGCATGAATTATGGTAGAAAGTACATTGGTAAACTTCTGGTTTCATTTTAGGATTAATACCACTGCTTATAGTTAGTTTCTTGTTGATGGAGGAAAATAAACTTCTCTCATGAGACATTAAAGAACACAAGGAAATCAGGAGCTGCTGCTGCTGCATGTGACTCTATGAATGCTCTACAGATTTTACAGATGAATTTTCATTCTAAAGATACCTGTGTTTAGGTGGTGTTGCCTTCCTAGAATCCACACTGGCTCATCAGTTTCTGGAAATTCTTCTAAGTAGTCTGACAAAATAGTGATCTGGTTTTCATACCTAGATAAAACTGAACAGGAATACACAAAATTCAAACTCCATTTTGTCCCTTTGTTCTTTTATGCACAGCTTTGAGTTCTTAGACTGAACTAGTTGCAGCTAGTCTTTGCAGTCTTTGGGTCTTCTGAACCGTGCCGCCAGCTGCGTTTACTCTTTTCCTTTAACAAGCTGTTCTGACACTGAAATATCCAATGTCTTGGCTGGTTTTTATTTTGATCCTCAGCGAGTGCTGAGAGAGTAACATGGCTGACACCTTGATTATAAGCAGTCTGACTGAAGCCAGTAGCAGGAGTTCAGCATGACTGCAGTGAGAGTAAGATTTGACTCAAGGAAACGGGGAAACGGAAAAACAATTTAGGCACCACAGCAAATCTGCCCATGCTTGATCTTAAATGTACAAATACTGCCACTCAGAGCGATTATGTCCTCGTGCTTAATGGGAAGCATGTGAAAAGCGTTAGCAAGACTGGGTTTTACTTTCCTAACTGAAGATCTGAAACACTTCAAAATAAAAGATGTATTAATGTTATCATTCAGTGCTAGACCTATCTACTGTAAAATAACAAATCATAATTAATACTACTTAAAGAAGACCATTCAATCAATTTTTAGATAATTAATTAAAGCAGGGTTTGTTGGAAGAGGAAAACAGGCCTTCAAGTGTAAAAATGAATGTAAAATCATTTCTTTTACATACCAATCTTAAGGAATATACTGCTAAAAAATCAGAAGTTGAAAGTGAAAGGCAACACAATTATATTTTACTCTTCAAGTGCACATATATACAGTATAAAGAATGAATAATCATCAGGTAAATGTAGAAAAAACCAAAACTATTTCATGTGAAAATATACATTATAGCAATCAGAAGTGAAACTGAGCTACAGCACCCTCTGATTCGAGCACCCAGGGCCAGTGCTACCAAGCAGCGAAGATACACCTCTGCAAGTTAGCACTGGCAGTTGTTAAAAAATGTGAATAAACTTCTTTCTTAAGACTGTATACAGAGCAAAAGAACCTCTTACATTGTGCTCTGTCTTCTCCGTCAGAAAACTCATCACTCACTGCACTTACAGAGTAAAAAATTTCCTTCTGAGCCTAAAGACTTAAAAGACTCTCACCCCTCGAAATCCAGCAGGAGAGAGCCGCGTCCCCCCTTGGCGGCCATGCCTCTCCCCCGCTGCCATATGACATCTCAGACCATGCCGGG